CGGTATTCAGCTTTCCCGCACGGTATTGTACAATTTTGAGCGGCAATCGAGTTCACCGTTTGAAACCGTTTTCCACCTTGCTGTGTGAACTATAGCAACTTTGTTGTTCAGTTTGGGATGTCACACGGAGGACCAGCCTAGTGCGGCATAGTACGTTGCTCCTGGCAGCGTGACACTATTGGATAATTCCGGGCGATAAATTCTGGGTCGCTCGCTAATTTGTCGTCAGCAGGAGTCTTGCTTCAATGTGCTGATGTGGCAAATTTCATCCACTCCTTGCTCCTGCCAGCGTGTCACCCATGGATGAATTTTGGCGCGCGAGAACAGAGCGACGATTTTTTTGTTAGGGTCGCACAGTGTCGTCAGCTAAAGTCCAAGGCAACTTCGCACGATTTGCTAGGTCCATGAGGATGGTTCCTTGGCCAGGCTGGTTGACGTCAACAAACAAGTGGATGCTCAGCTCCGCCTCCACTTTCCCGCATTTTCGTCTGCAGCGCACGCAAACCTGAGCATCATCCGTCAGGCAACGCGCGCTTTGGATGAGTGGTTTGTGTGCTTCGATGGCCAAATTTTTTTGGGAAAATCTAAACTCAGAAAATCTGGCTTCGGAGGGTCGCAGTGGATGGACTTGAAGAACAAAAACAAAAATGCACATGGACTACAAGCAACTGAAAGACGCTGGTACTCATTTAAGCGTCTATTAAAAATCGGAAAACTGTACATCGCACGCGATCTGCCTACCAAAAAAAAAACATTTATGAACAAGTGGTGGTGGTGGACCACACCACAATGGTGCTGCAACCTGCCACTTACTGTACTGAAGTGGTTTGGTCCTCGGACTCGCTGGGAAAACTCTTCTGCTCCACCCTCCCCTTGAGCCAGGGAGGCTCAGAGGGCCTCCTCACAGAGCAGCAAGAGAAAATCAACCGCGAACTGGAGCGGCCCAAAATAACCCGCGAAGGATAGCCGCTTCCTCTGCAATAGAGCAGAGGTTAGGGTTTCAACCCACGCTTCACGAACCGCGACGAGAAAGTTGGGTCGGTTGGACTCCGTCCCAATGCTTCGGCGTGGCGTACGTTCACCTTCATGCAGTTCAATTCTACTCTCGTGAACCACATCCGTTTAGTTGACTCAAACTATATATCACAGAAATTTGCATTTACATCTCTAGCCCACAGATTTCATCAACATTCGATCCACTTTCAACTAGTCGACTCTGGAGTCTCCACCTTCATTCGCCCCCAACGCCCAACCTCAACCCGCTTCCATCCACGCCCCCGCCCCCCGCCCGGCCTTCCTCTCAAACTCCAGAGGTAAGCGTTGTCACGTCAACTTTTCTTGATGTTTACGCCATCATGTTTAATGGATGTTCCTTTTGGACCACGATCTGACCTACTTTGTTGTTTCTCGGCAGTCACAACGCCTTGGTCCTTCAAATCGCTGCTATTCAAGACCAATGGCAAGGGCTCCGCAACACAACGCATGTTGGAGCGAGCAATCTCGTCTACAACGCTCCACTCAAGCTTCAATCCGTCAACCAAAGCTGGTCAACCCTGGAGATCGACCACCACCACTGTTCGCCGCCACCACCAACCTTCAACCCGCCCCCATCCTCGCACCACCCTCCGCCCTGCCCACCTCACGATCTCCAGAGGTACGTAACACCATCGCAACGTGAATGCTTTTGCAACACTCACACTGCATTTTATATTTGATTGTCCATGCTGACTTTTTTTTCCATGTTGAAACTTAATCTGATTCTCTTTCGTTGTTCCTTGTGCATGCAGGATTAAAGACCGTCATCTTCCTCAAACATCCGGCGCTCATCACTGCCGTCGCCCAGCAAGCCAATGACCCTCGTGGGCTTCACTGATCTTCAATCATACTCGGGATCAACACCACCATTCGCGCACCACCAACCTTCAACCCGCCCCCCGCCCAGCCCACCTCTTGATCTCGAGAGGTAAGCATGTCGTGGTTGAGTTTGTTCTTGCTTGGCCTTTTTGCACAAAACAGTTTTCTTGAAAACTTCAGATCTGAAATGATTCTAACTCATTATTGTTTCAATCTTTGCAGGGTCACTGTCTGTGGTCGTACCCATGCTCACGAGCAGCGACCTTTGATTCTGCGCTGAACCGCTCTACGAAGCTCCAACCGATGAACCGCTCTACAAGCTCCATGACAAGCTGCCTTTCAACTCATGGCTGGCTCGAGACTTGCGCGCGACTGGCGAGCCGTGAAGGACGTGCCGCTGCCCTTCTCGTCACCAACTCTGACTGGGAAGTGTTGCTTCCCTTCCCGTTCTTGCTTTCGTGTTCGCTTTCGTCATCATCCACATCATTCACCGCCATTTCCGCCATCATTCGTTATTCCTCGTTTCCACCGTCCCTCTTGTACGTATGGCTGCGGCTGGTCGATGATCCTCCGTGGGTTTTGGGTAGCATAGAGTCCGGGTGGGTAGCATAGAGTCTCCTCCCTCTGCCAGCAACAGCCATACGTACAATGGACGTCCACTTCACCATCCCGTTTTGTTTTTCTCGTCGGTTTCGCCCTCGTTTCCGCTTTTCGTTTTCGCTTTCGTTTTCTTTTGCTTTCCAATCTTCTATTGCTGTTTTCTAACTTCGTGCCTCTGTCCGTGTGTTTCCTGTTTTTCAGCGGCAGTGGAGCTTCAAGGGAGTTGACGGGAGCTTCAACGCTGCAAGCTTCAAACGTGTTTGGCGCTTGGGCGCTTCGGGCTGCGCGCTTTCAAGCCTATGATCAACGATCTGCTGCCTTTTCGCCTTCAGCAGCAACTAACTGGGAAGTGTTCTTCCCCTCCTTTCATTCCGCTTCGTTTTCGTTTTCGTATTCGTTTTCGTTTTCGCTTTCGTTTTCGCTTTCATTTTCCATCATTCACCATTCATTTCGTGCATTTCACCGTCCCTCTGATACGTATGGCTGCAGTTTAGCAGATGATCCTCCGCGGGTTTCGGGTAGAATAGCGTCGGGTTGGGTAGCAAAGAGTCTCCTCCCTCTGCTAGCTGCAGCCCATACGTATCATGGACGCTCACTCATCCCACCACCTTGTTGTTTTCATTTTTGCATTTCGTTTCCTTCAGTTTATCGCTCTTTACTAACTTCGTGCTTATGTCTGTTTTTCTCCCTGTTTTTCAGCACTTCAAGCTTCAAGGGTTGACCTCGAGCACTGGAAGCTTCAAGGGTCTTCACAGCAACAGCTTCACGGCAACCATGTTCTTCAACACTGCAAAAGTAAGTCAAGACTGGTTCTTCAAACATTTTACTTTCAGTCTTGTTAATTTCGTTCTATGCCTTGTTGAATTGTTCAGTTTTATGCTTTACGTTTTACGATTTACGTTTTACTGATGTCATTTATCTGTTTAATGTGCAGATCAACCCCTTGGCGCGGCGAATCAATCCCTTGGCGCGGGGTCATCACGGCAGCAGCAGCTTTAAGCACCTTGGAGCTTCAGATCTGCACCGTGGAGCTTCAGATCTGCACCTTGGAGCTTCAGATCTGCGCCTTGGAGCTTCAGATCTGCACCTTGGCGCTTCAGATCTGCACCTTGGCGCTTCAGATCTGCACCTTGGCGCGGTGTCAACGGTCTTCAACGGCAGCAGGGGTGTCAACGGTCTTCAACGGCAGCAGCAGTCAACGTCTTCAACAGCAGCAGCAGTCAACGTCTTCAACGGCAGCAGCAGTCAACGTCTTCAACGGCAGCAGCAGTCAACGTCTTCAACGGCAGCAGCAGTCAACGTCTTCAACGGCAGCAGACAAAGTCCTCGGCAGTAGCAGACAAAGTCCTTCGGCAGCAGCGGAAAACCCCTGGCAGCAGCGGAAAACCCCTTCGGCAGCAGCGGAAAACCCCTTCGGCAGCAGCAGACACACTCCTTCGGCAGCAGCAGACACACTCCTTCGGCAACGGCAGACACACTCCTTCGGCAGCAGCTGAGAACCCCTTCGGCAGCAGCTGAAAACCCCTTCGGCAGCAGCAGACAAACTCCTTCGGCAGCAGCAGACACACTCCTTCGGCAGCAGCGGACAACCCCTTCGGCAGCAGCGGACAACCCCTTCGGCAGCGGCAGACAAACTCCTTTGGCAGATGATAACCAATGTAGCAGGACAACACCGTCGGCGCAGCAGGACAACACCGACGACGCAGCGGATGTAGCAGACAGTAGCCGCGCTGAATCAGCCGTGATTCTGTGAAAGGGGGGAGACGAGGGGGGGGGAGCGGCAAAAACCTTGGCAGAACGGTGGCGAGGGGTTGACTGGGATGGTGGGTGGCGTGGAGAGACAAGGCAACTGAGTGTGCATGCTCAGGCCAAGAGGCAGTGGCACACGTTGCCCGGGAAGCTTCAAGGGGATCGTGATGGAGTCTGGCCTTGACTTGCATGGTTCTGACTGCAGCAGAATCATGCTCGCAAGGTACCACACACTCCAGGTAGCGATTCCCTTGAGGTGACTCGGGTAACACAAGTTTTTCCTCACTGGCGTGGGTGAGGAGAACTTGGTGTCACGGACTCTTCCACACTGGCGTGGGTGTGGAGGGTCCTTTCCCTCTTGGTGCCTTTTCAATCTTACGTTACTCGCCCAAACTGTCAACTTCCTTTAAACCGTGATGCTGAAGAGGGGGTGAAGGAGTGGGGAAGCTGCTGTTAAGGGAGGAGGGAAGCTGCTAAGGGCTGCCAACGAAGCTGCTTAGGGCTGCTAAGGAAGCTGCTAAGGAAGCTGCTAAGGAAGCTGCTAAGGAAGCTGCAAAGGGCCGCTGCCAAGGAAAGTTTTTAAGGGGTGAAGCAGCAGAGAAGGGGTGAAGCAGCAGAGAAGGGGTGGAGCAGCAGAGAAGGGAAGCTGCTAAGGGTTGCTAACGAAGCTGCTTAGGGCTGCTAAGGAAGCTGCTAAGGAAGCTGCTAAGGAAGCTACTGAGGAAGCCGCTAAGGGGTGCTAAGGAAGCTGCTAAGGAAGCTGATAAGGGCTTCTAAGGAAGCTGCAAAGGAAGCTGTTATGGGCCGTTGCCAAGGAAAGTTTTTAAGGGGAGAAGGGGTGGAGCAGCAGAGAAGGGGTGGAGCAGCAGAGAAGGGGTGGAGCAGCAGAGAAGGGGTGGAGCAGCAGAGAAGGGGTGAAGCAGATAGGCAGGCGGGGTTCTACGGAGGTTTTTAGCCGAATGAACGGCAGTACCCTGCTTTGAGGGTCTCGGTCCGTCGGCAAACCCATCAAGGGGGAGCTGACGGGACGGATTTTTTTCCTCCCACACAAAAAAAAAGAAATAAAAAGACGGTGAAGCAGATAAGTTGTGAAGCAGAGAAAGGGGTGAACCAGGGAAGGATAGAAAGATAGAATTGGTGACGTAGAGATGGTGTGAAGGAGAAGGGGTGAAGCAGAGTTGGGGTGTAGCAGAGATCGGGTGAAGGAAAAAGGGTGTAGCAGAGAAGGGGGAGAAGCATAGAAGGGGGAGAAGCAGTGAATGGTTGAAGCAGAGAAGGGGTTGAAGCAGAGAAGGGGGTGAAGCAGAGAAGGGGTTGAAGCAGAGAAGGGGATGAAGCAGAGAAGGGGTTGAAGCAGAGAAGGGGGTGAAGCAGAGAAGGGGTTGAAGCAGAGAAGGGGTTGAAGCAGAGAAGGGGGTGAAGCAGAGAAGGGGTTGAAGCAGAGAAGGGGGTGAAGCAGAGAAGGGGTTGAAGCAGAGAAGGGGATGAAGCAGAGAAGGGGTTGAAGCAGAGAAGGGGATGAAGCAGAGAAGGGGTTGAAGCAGAGAAGGGGTTGAAGCAGAGAAGGGGTTGAAGCAGAGAAGGGGTTGAAGCAGAGAAGGGGTTGAAGCAGAGAAGGGGTTGAAGCAGAGAAGGGGTTGAAGCAGAGAAGGGGGTGAAGCAGAGAAGGGGTTGAAGCAGAGAAGGATCTTAGGGATGGATGGATGAACAAAGAATTTGCAGTGCCTGCCAACTCAAGGCAGATTTGTGGTGTGTACTGGAGGGTGGTGCAGTTGTGTGGTGTGCACTGGAGGGTGGTGCAGTTGTGTGGTGTGCACTGGAGGGTGGTGCAGTTGTGTGGTGTGCACTGGAGGGCGGTGCAGTTGTGTGGTGTGCACTGGAGGGCGGTGCAGTTGTGTGGTGTGCACTGGAGGGCGGTGCAGTTGTGTGGTGTGCACTGGAGGGCGGTGCAGTTGTGTGGTGTGCACTGGAGGGTGGTGCAGTTGTGTGGTGTGCACTGGAGGGTGGTGCAGTTGTGTGGTGTGCACTGGAGGGCGGTGCAGTTGTGTGGTGTGCACCGGAGGGCGGTGCAGTTGTGTGGTGTGCACTGGAGGGCGGGGCAGTTGTAGTTGATGCTTACGATACGATGGGTTTGGCTTGCTACTGATTAATATTGTATCGTATGTTCTCTACATGAATAATCATTATATTTATTTCCAATATGCGTTCGTTTCAATGAAGGCACTGCAGCATATACGGTACAGATGCTTGCATGCAAGATGCACTTCCCTTGAGGTCTTAGGAGTGCAACAGACTGCTTGGGAAGCAGGAGGCCATTACATAGTTGGATTGTTGCTGTGCTGTGGATAGGGTTGGGAGAGACCAGACCGGGTTGTAACTTTCCAGACCAAAATGGTATTTGTCTTTATAAACAGATCAGATCTGAATCTTCAGACAGGGTAATATCATGTCGTACCTGTGCACCAACTATGTACGTTACCCTGTGCTAGCGCGATGAATACATTGATAACCGAAATTGTAACATGTTTTGGAGGCAATTGTCACCTCTCTGGAAAGTAGGTGCAACAGATTGGTATGGTTAAAACGGCGGGGTTTATCAAAAGTGCATTGTTGCTAAGCAAATTGTTGGGTACACGTGAGCTCATGATCTTTCGTGAACATTTAGGATGGGGTGAGGAATAACAATCCTGTTTGTGGGGAGCAAATTCACAAACATGCTGCAAACGCTTCTTCTAATCTGCTCCTTGCCACAAGCCATCCCCACCAAAAAGGTGACCACCAAGCAACACGCCGCTCAGGAACGCCACTACTCCACACGCACATCATCCCCACATGCTGCTCTCCCTTGCTGCACATCCACAACGCCTCTCAGCTTCCTGAGCAGCCCCCTCACCTCATGATCCGCCCTCACTCCCTTCACCCGCATCTCCTCTTCAACCCCCCTCGCCGCCTCCTCCCACCTCCCCCCACTGCTACCCTCTCCATCTCCTCCTTCCCCCTTCCCTGCAAGCACCTCAGCGCGTCGCAGCATGGCCCCTATGAGCATCTTGTACCAGGCCACCTCACCGGTGCCCCACATGGCCTCGCCTGCCTGAATCGCCTGCCTCACGCCCTCCACGTGCCCCTCCGCCTTGAGTGCCTCCATCAGCCCCCGCAGCGTGCGCCGCTTGATGGCAGCTGGGGGCGTAGAGGGGTGTGAGCCGTGGTGGCGAGGAGAGTAGGAGGGAAGAGCGTGGCAAGGAGTTGCAGGAGGAGGCATGCGCTGACGCACGGACCCATCCAGGGATTCGGGATGAAAAGGAGAGCTCAATGGCTTGGTGGTGGCACGAGGATCAAGGGTTACATGGGTGTCAACAGGGGTGACCAGTTGAGTGAGGAGGGCGGTGGCGTGGGAGAGGCGTTGGGAGCGAGAGAGGCAGGAGAGGAGGAGGGAGAGTGTGGCTGTGCCGCAAGAAATGTTGGCCCTCTGCATGTCATCGACCAATCGCAGCGCAGCATCTGGCATGTTTGCCCGCGTGTACCCCTTAAGAAGAGCGTTACATGCATCACGGTCAAGGCGACGGATGCAGGCATGCAGAGAGGAGAACGCCTCTTCAGCCATGGCTATATCCCCAGCCGCCACATGCGCTGCTATGCGCGCCACATGCATGGGTCGAGTCACCCTCACCCCCATCCCACCCACCCTCCTCCACATCCCCTCCACCTCCCCCCCACGGCCCCCCTTCCCTGCCCGCCCCATCGCCATCCACAACACAGCGCAAGCAGTGGAAGACGGTGCCAAGCCATCCCCCAGCATGGCGTGGAAAGATTTTTCTGCCCGGGCCAGCTGCCCCGTGTGAAGGAACACCCGGAGCAGGATGGAGTGGGTTTGGGCGGAGGGCAGCAGGTGGTGGTGATGCATGGCGTGCAGGAGGGCGTCGAGGCGGTCAGGAGAGGACGTGGGTGCGTGAGGAGGGTGGTGCAGGCAGTGGCGCAGGAGGATGTGGAAGGTGAAGAGGGACGGGGTGATGCCCTGCAGACACACGCGCATGGGATAGGGACGCGGGTGCAGGGGGAGGTGAGAACGAGAGCACGGCACCACACACACATGAGGAAGCCACATGTGAGATGAGAGAGGCAGCAGCTAGCAAGGACCCATAGCTCCCGGCCATCAGCATTGACCATCGTTGACCATCGTTGACCATCGTTGACCATCGTTGACCCCACCCTTCTATCACATCCTCCCCATCATGGACCCCAATCCTCACTCACATCACATCCCCCACCCATGGTCTCACCTTCGCCTTCATCTCTTCCATAATACCATCCATCCTCTGTGTCACTGAATCAGCAGAGGCTAGACGCGACGGCAGGGTGGAGAGGGCGAGCAGGCGCGCGTTGAAGGAGCTCACACCCAGCGCCGCCCCTGCTGTCTCATGCAGCCACTGCAGCTCCTCCTGCAACTGGCTGTGCTGGCCCGTGCGCGCCAGATGGTACAACACTCCACTGTATGCCTGACAAGGATTGAGAGGAAGAGTGGGGAAACATGAACAAAGAAGGGGGATCTACGAAGTACGACGATGCAATGCGCATGACCAGAATGGCATGCCATGAAATGAAAGAACACGCACAACAGCAGCAGCACCGTGTGGGCCTGCGGAGCACCTTGTGAGAGCGGGCGTGGCGTGGCAGGGCGAGGAAGGCATCCCTGGCGTCTCTCCATCGGCCGCAGCGAGCCAACCCGTCTATCAGCTCACACGCCTCCCACTCCGGGTCCTCCCTCTCCACGCCCCTGTGGCTTGACTGGCTCCCCTGCTCATGCTCATGCTCATGCGGACTGTGTGGTGAGCCGTGCGAAGGGGGGCGGGCCATGTGCCATTGCAGCAGCTGATGGGGGAAGAAGGGGAAGAAGGGAGAGTGAGGAGGTGATTCAGAAGAATAAAGGGACCGAAGCGATCTGCGAGGTGCACACTTGATGACCAGGCACAACGTGGTGTAATGAATCAGTGCATCTGGTGCATGGGTGCATGCATGCTGACATCACCTCGAGAGCATGCTGGTGTCGCTGCCTCTCCTTGAGCCGTCGCACCAGCAGCATCACGAGTCGCCGATCCAACACTGTACCACCACTGCCGTTGATGCTACTGCTGTTGGAGCTGCTGCTGCAATATCTGCCGTTGCTTGCTTGCACAACCATGGTGGGAGAGGTGGGATGCGAGGGAGATGTGGGAGGGCGAAGGTCCGGTGGAAGGCGCAAGGAGAGGAGGCGAGGCATGAGAGGGAGAGAGGCGGGATGGTGGCGGATGAATGACCACACACGCTCTAGCCTCTCTGCTTCCTCCCTGCTCACACTCCCTCTGCCGCATCTGTCACTCTCCTGCCCTGTCTCTTCACCATACTCCCAGTCACTGCTGCTACTGTCACTGTCACTGGCATCACCACCACTGTCAGCACAAAGGACATCTCTTTCTCCCATTGATTGTGCAATTGCCAGTTCAGGACCAAGCCCTGGCTCCCATCCTCCCGCCCCCTGCTGCAAAGTCATTGTTGAATCAGTCACTGTTCCTGTCCTACTTGCACCCCCTCCGACTCTCCCTTCCTCCAATCGTCCACCCCACTCCCCCGCACGTCCGTCTCCTGGAAAACTTCGTGGCTGTGACGCGTCCACTGGCTTTTCATGCGAGTGATGCGAGTGATGTGAGTGATGCGAGTGGAAGCGTACAAGTTTGCTGGGCGAAGAAAGTGTGGGTGATTGAGGCAGGGTGAGGCTGGCTGTGGGTGAGGATAATGAGGATAATGAGGACACTAAGGACGTTGGGGCAAAGGACGTCGGGGACAAGGCAGATTGAGGGAGAAGGAGTGAGTGCTTACGGAGGAAGTGCGGGGACGGGAGGAGGAAGCTGTGGGGTAGGAATGGTGGCTTACTGGGAGCAGGAGGGAGAGGGTTGGATGCAATGAAGAGGATGGGGTGAGTGCGGGAGCCAGGGAGAGTGTGAGGGAAGGAGAAGGGCATCCAGTAACTGCTGTCAAGGGAATCAAACCCATCAGGGGAATCTTCATCGTCTGATGCGGGCGAGGCACGAAAAGACGCACTGCAGCCTGGCATGGGGGAGGTGGAGGCGCGTCTGAAGGCACCACTTCCGCCACCATTTCTGCCGTGGGTGCACCAGTGGGGAAGCATCTCTCCCCACGCGCACGACAGCCATATGCTGCAGAGAGAGAAGAGTCAACAACAGAGAGGTAAGATTCGCAGGAGTGGTAAGAGGAGTGAGTAGGAACCAGGACGGGCAAGGACTTCGGCAAGGATGCGCTCGCGTTCACTAGATTCACTGGAACTGCAATCGCCTCACGTCAGAGTAGACAGCTGCACTCGCTTCAGATGTCTGCACGTGGATTTCTGAAAAGTCCGATCACAGGAAGTGGCTTCGCAAACCACCCTAAAAAACCTTGGAAAAGTTTCGCATGTTTTTTAAGCAATCCTGACACTTCATAATCATCACAGCGCAGGAATAATCCGAAAGCTCCCAATGGCTGAACCTGACAAGCTGTCCGGATAAAAAAACCTAAAATAGCATCGATTGAAGTCATATAAAGGGCGTGGAAGGTGGTCGAGGCGGACCTTCTCAGTTGTTGCCAGTGAGCGGGCCACGCGCGACACAGCACTCGCCATCGCACCACCGTCGCCGCGGCTGCAGCACCTGTCGCCACCGCAGAGACCGGAGAGGCTCCACCCGACGGACGAGGGAGCGACGAGCCGTCATAAGAGTCGTTCAGGCGTGATCCATCTGGTGAAGGCGAGATGGTACATGAATCCAACGGCTGGAAATCCGCGTCCGAAAGGCCTTGGAAGCGCCTCTCACTGGTGTGATCACATTGTGCGGCAAGAGTAGGGTCGCGTAGAGTGACTTTCGAATCGCTGGATAACCGATCGATACTAGAATGGCCGCCATGGAAGAAAGTATTCTGATGGACTTCTGTCATGATGGGAATGGATGGTGTGAGAACTTTGCAATGAGGCGAGCGATTGTGACCCGTTTCACCTCGTGCAGTATAACCTCGCTAAAAGCTGGTCTAAGTGACAATGGATGGAACGCTGCGATTGCACACAAGGCTCCATAACCTACTGGAAAATTGTATTGGTACAGTGTTACAGGAATTATATTCCCACTAAAATCAGGATAAGAGCTTGCAATTCCACTCCATCAGCTCGTGCTGCTCTCCTATAAACTGCCATGCTCCAAGTTAAAATCCGTGGTTTCTTCCTTTCATTAGCCAAGCCTTCAGACTGAGAAGTGGTCTTATTACAAGAGATGTTTACAGGTTCAAATCAGACCAGCCATCTTCAAGCAGTACAATGACCATTTCAAAACCAAAAAGAAAGCCAAAAGAAACTAGAAGGGCTTGAATTGAATGTAATCCCTGCACAAGAAGCCCTTCGCATACCGTCTAGAGATTGCTTTCACAGGAGACTGCTTACACAAGCACAACCTCCCTGTTGAACACCCAGCTAAACTTGCCCGTTTTCGGACCCGCCTTCTTGAGCTTATCTGCTGATCGCTCGGCCAGCTTGCGGATGCGCGGCGGAAGCTTGCACACATATTCCTGTGCCCTGCGGCCGTCAGCATCGAGCCCCTCTATCTTCTCAACGTTCCATCTGGCAATGAGATGCTCAATGATGCTGACATAGTCGTTGGCCGTGTACACACCCGTGCGCTGCGCCACCATGGTGAACGCGTCAAACAGCTTCTCGTTCTCCCCGTCGTACATGAGGTGCGCGGGCATCACGATCTGGAGGGGAGACCACATGGGAATGGACAGCATTGAGTTGTTGATACACGAAGTACCAGGCATACGCCAGCATCTAGGATGCCATTTCATGCTCAATCCACCCCAACCCTCAATCTCTTCCCTTCCACCATCAAGCAACATCTCCAACCCACCATGTCCACACCTCATGAACTACAAGCGGCAACACCGAGCATCACAACCCAGGGGCCTTGGGCAATTCTTTTCCCTGGGCCTGCCACTTGGAGTGCCATTAGCATGACTCAGACGGTACACACTTCATCGCATGAGCTCACCGAACCAGAACTCATTCGACATATCCACATGGCACAAGATGTCCCCGAGCCATTTGAATCAAGGCCCAACCTGTCAACCCAGCGTCACCCACTACACCCCGACCCTTACCTAAATACCACCCAGATTCCAACCCCGCCCCACCCCACTTGACCTCACACCACCCAGATCCAATCACCTGCCTTCAAACCATCCAAATCCCAACCCCCCCTGACCCCACCCCACCCAAACCGTAGCTCTCTGACCCCGCCCCACCCAGATCCTAACCCAGCCATCCCAGATCCTCCCCACTGAACCGACGACGCGAGGCGCACCTGTTTCTTCATCATGTCTTCGAAGGCGAGCATGGCGCCGTTGGGGTCCAGCTCGTACAGCTTGCCCACGATCGCCTGGTACGCGCGCTCGTGCCGCTTCTCGTCCGCCGCGATCAGCCCGCATATGCGCCCCAGGTTCTTCTCCCCCTTGAACACCGCGTGCCGCGCCGTGTTGCCGTGCGAGATGGCCGTCGCGCGCTCCTGAAACGACGTGTAGAGGAAGCCCAGGTACGGGTTGTTCTCCGTCTTGGGGTCCTGCGGATGGCGAACATGGGACAACCGAGGGCGTGGGGGACGGTTAGCAAAGACGACTTCAATGACAAGGGCAAATTATCTTCCCAGGATACGACGTTCGTGGCACCAGAATGGTAAGATCTGCGGAGAAACTTCGACGCAACGCGAGCGACGACCTACGAATAGTCAGGATATACAAACGAACTCACCATGCCGGATCCGATGAGGTACTGGATGGTCGTCTCCACGGCGCGCATGTTGACGCGGCCCGTGAGGTAGAGATAGCGGTTGAGCAGATCGCCGTGGCGGTTCTCCTCCGCCGTCCACTGCCGAGTCCATATGCCCCACGGGGTCGGGCTCGCGCCCGTCTCGTCGCGCGTGCCGTCCAGCGTGTTGAGCATCGTCTGGTACGTCGGTAACGCCTCCTCCGTGATCATGTCGCCAACGAGCGAGACGAAATACTCGTCGGGTAACTCCTTCGCCCGTTCGCGCAGCTCCTTGACTTCGTCGATGAAGCTCTCCTTCTCAGATGACGGGAGGAAGTCAGACGGCTGCCACGCGGACTCGACGGGCTTGAGAAGCGGAAGGAGCGTCTCCTCGGCCCAGCCCTCGAGAGACTGTACGAGCTCGAGTTTCTCGGGGCTGATGGTGTGCGCCCGCTGATTGGTTACCATCTTGTGCTTCTTCGCATCAGTCGACGCGGACGGGCTGGCGGAGGAAAGCAACGATGGGGGGAACGAGATGGCACAACGGATGAGGGAAGTGCAATTCACGTACCTACAAGATACTGTGGCTAGCCGACAATTTTTCGTCTTTCCTTACTAGTATGTGTGCGTGTTCCTGTATCTCCTACTCTACTACTGGTGATTTCGTGAAGTGTAACGACTGCGACTCACCGAGCTACAGTAGCAGTCATGGCCACCTTGCACCCATTCTGCATCCCCTGCACTCTCGCCCCGCGGATGGACTGGCACGACCCCAAGCGGGCCGCGGCATTGGCGCTGGCGACGTTAAACGACGCCATCTCTGCAGCTAGCGAACCAGCCATGTAATAGGACCAAGGAGGCTGATTACACAAACAGGTAAGGAGTAAGTTGGAGCGAAAAGCTCACTAGCTGCGGTAGCGAGGGAACCGCAAGTGATCAAAAGATCGGGGGGTGTGATATTTTCAGAACGTGAAGTGATCAAAAGACAGGAGGGGTCTGAAGTTAGCATTGACCGCAGGGGGCTTTCTATTCTAGCTGCTGTCTGCCAGCCTTTCTCCCCGAATTCCTCTTCCATAGGCGGAAGAAACTTTCCTGGGGTCCCCCTGGAGGCACTGCGCGCTTTCCGCGCTCTGTGCTGGCAGGCGATTCCCATCTCGCCCAACCGCAGGCTCCCACATGGGAGAGGGGATTCCAGTGCGACAGCGCATAGCAACAGCGTGATCGGTCAGCGTTCCCTTGGCCTTTCCGAGACGGTCGATGGGGGAAAGATGCTGCGATCGAAACCGCTAGAAACAAGCGCGAAAATACCCCCAGCCAGCGACTTTCCAGCTCCATATAGTGAAACCAATCAGAGGCCGTTCATGAGTCGAGGCCACGCAATGTAATCATCGAGGTGCAGACAATCGGGGCTCTCCTGGCCTCCCGTCCGTTCGCGTGGACAGCGCACCAAACCAGCACCACGCGTGGCGCCCAGCACAGTCATGAGCTGTACTCGATTCCGCTACGATGCGACGATGGGAACTACGATGCAATTTGAATACCACAACACAGCCATGAGAGAAATTTATTAATGGCAGACTATACATGGTCATGGAATTGTCTAAAGTATATCATATGATTCCAGACCATTCGTGTATTAGTGTTTATGCAAAGTTTTTAATATATACCATATTCTCCAGGATTTTCTGTAGGAGATTGAATCAATGTGTATAGCTGCAAGCATAATTAAATCTAAATTAGGCTGTAGCTGGACTTGCGCTCCCTCCTAACGAGGTTTTATCCCCAACCACAATTGCTCTGTTATGGAAGATTCTTGTGATGTGGATTGGTTGGGTGGGACAATCTACCTGCGGTTGGCGACACATGAGTCGTTTTGACATGCACTGCAGCGGTGGTAAGACTTGGGTGACTTCGAGCAGTACTGTACAAGAGAGAGGGTGCAAGGTTCTAAGCACTCACCCCTGCTGCCTTGCAACAGGAAAAATATTCAAAAAGTCGATGGTTTGGAAACAGGCCCTCAGAGCTTTTTACAGCCGAACCTCTGCACCTCAGGTGCGGTTGATGGCTGAACCAATTTCCTTCAGGCCATTCTTCTCAAGCACACAAATTCGCAGCGAAAAGGTCAGTGACACTCATGGTTAGCGCTTCTTTTTGCGCGCAGGCTCGAGTCAAATTGTTGCAAGCTTGGAATTGGTCGCCAACAGACCCATCGACTTTGTCGCTGCCAGCCGGGCCAAACCCCAGCTTTTCCCACACCAGCACCAGTCTGAGCGAAGAATTCCCTTACCATCCCAAGCTGCCCGAGCTGCTGTGGTAGGCTGGTAGCTACCCAAGCTGCCGCAAAGCTGCCATTCAAACACTGCACAGCACAACTGCCCCCTCAATCCTCCTCATGCACCCCTGCTCCGGTGTGTCCGCCAACCCCAAGGTCGGTTTACGCTTTTATTCCGCCAACCAGGCAGGTTGTCTGGGCCATGCCTCACCTTCCACCCAACCCATTCCCCAGCGTTCCCACTGCCCGAACCTGCACAGGTGGTGCGTGTGGGGGCAACACTCTCGATAATCACATTCGCGTTCCAAAACCAGTGCTTGTAAAGGCTCGGGGGGCGGAACTTCCCTCCGTCTGTCAGCTCCGCGTACATCATTCGCAGCGTTGCCCCGCGCGCGTCCCTTTCCCCGCGCAGTCACCTTCCCCAGCGATCTCTATCCAATCGCAAGCCCCTCCCGCACACTGGTCCTCCAGCAGGGACTTCTGCTTGCGCTCTTTTCGTGTTTCCGTGCGTGCTTTTGAACTTCTAAACTTGCCGCCTAGTCAGCAGCCCCTATCATCCATGAACACATGAATTACCCACTTAGCTCTCGCGATTTGCGCATATTTTCTAGCCAACTCCAAGTTCTTGTCGACCGCCCCGTTATAATCCTATTATCGCATGTGTCCGGAGCTTTTAGGGGATCGCGTAGGAGCAGAGGCGGTGGAAAGCCAGCGCGCCAGCCTGTGGGCCTCGCAAACTGCCGACCGCCAACGCGCGCCTTGTGCGGCCATGAGCGCGGCGGCTAGAGGCAACCCAACTGTCGCCTCGCACACGTCACACAGCTCCATATTCCCGCGGCCCTTCCACCTCCCGCAACAACCGCTGATCGCGCCGCCGCACATCTCGGCGCAGCACTTCCTCTATCTCCAACAGCAGCAGCGCCGCCTGCAGCTCGTGCAATCCCTTCCCATTCCGCAACCCCTCCTCCACCAATCCTCCGTCTCCGCCGGCTCCGCGGCCGCCGCCGTTCCTCCCGCGGTCTCCGAAGCGCGGCTGCCGGCGCCGGCGTACGACTATGCGACCCACGGCGCGGTGATGACGCCGGAGCAGGTGGAGTCGCTGCGGCGGCAGATCTCGGTGTACAGCACCATCTGCCAGCAGCTCGTCGCCATGCACCAGGCGCTCACCGCGCAGCACGCGCACTTCACCGGTCAGTCCACGCGCACGCGCATCAGCCCGCGCCGCCCACCGTTCACCACCGTGTCCCGTTTCGCTGCACTTTCTCACACCGTTCTGTACAGCGTTATGACTGCTTGGCGCCTCCCGTTTCGCGTATTTCCGTCGCTCATCGTCACGTTATGCGATTTGCAATCGCAAAGGGCAGAGTCCTCCCAATTACAATTCAGTTCGAGACCGCAAGAAGGTTTTGTTCTGAAGTCATCTTACGTCGCAATAAGTCGGTCGTTCGTGCTAGAGGCTGTGGTGACAATCAGTTTTGGTTCCGAACGTGGTTTGGAATATGGTTTCAGCGGTTATCAGCTGCCGTTAATGGCCGTTTGTCTGCTTGTCAAGAGCTAGCGTGTAACCGTTATGCTGTGGGTAACGGTAATGAAAGCACGTCCTTTTCTCTTGCAAGCGCTGGCATTCATGCTGGTCCCTACGCTTATCATCTTACCTCTATTGTACGCATGTGTGCGTGTGTTTTGTGTGTTTGTGTGTTCGTACATTCGTGCTGTCTTTCCGTGTGCTTCGTGTAAGCCATACGCCCTTTAGTCCGTTCATGATCCTGTCTACGCTTTTGATGCGTGCGCTGCTAATACTGTACGCTGCAATCGAAGCACGCGCTTCACTTTATGCCCTCTTAAGCCGTGGACTTGCGTTTAACTCGCTCCTTCCCTGCTTCTCGCAACCCTGTACTTCATCTCTTCTCCCATCCACGTGTCAGCAGCGGCGGCGGCAGCGGGGGTGCTGGGCCACCTGCCCTTCCCCTACGACCACTACGGCGTCGGCTCCGCCGCCATCGCCGCTCACCCCAAGACGCGCCAGCGCTGGACGCCGCAACCGGCGCAGCTGCAGATTCTCGAGAAGTACTTTTCGTTCTCCACGGGCACGCCGAATAAGGCGCGCATTCGGGAGATCACGGCGGAGCTGCAGCAGCATGGGCCTATATCGGAGACGAATGTTTACAACTGGTTTCAGAACCGCAAGGCGCGGGCGAAGCGGAAGAACTCAAATCTCGCGAATGGGGGGAGTGGCGGCGGGGAGAAAGACGCGGGCGCAGGGGAAGCCGCGGGGACTGTTGCCGCGCATGGGGCGGGGGGGAAGGGGAGCGCGGGGAACGGTTGGGGGAGCCAGGGGGAGAAGCGGCACAAGGGGGACTCGTCGGAGAGAGTAAAGGATGTGATTGGAGAGGGGGAAATGGGCCTCGTGCGCAGCGGCAGTGTGGCGAGTTCAGGCGGGGGTGACGTCAGCAGGGACCCCGACGGGAGGGGCGGGCACGAGGCGGGCGAAGGCAGCCCCGGGGGAGTCAGCGCCGCGGGGGGAAGCGGTGGTGGGGCGGGAGGGGCCTTCGCGAACGGCGGGGAAGGTGGGGGGAACTACACCGCGGAGGGGCAGGAGCGGGGCGCAGGGTCGGGGGGGGAGGGCGCAGTGAGTATGGGCGAGGCAACAGCGGGCGCGGGCGGTGCTGGGGAGGGAACGTTGATGGACCGTCAGCATGTGGCGGACGTTGTGGGGGTTGGCGCCATGGCCGCAGGCGACGGCGCGATTGCAGCAGCGCCTGTAGCGGAAGGGAGATTGCCACAGTACGGTGGAGAGGGGTGCAGAGCGGCAGGGTTTGAGTCCGTTCAGATGGAGACAGGCTTGTTGGGGGATGCAGTGACGGGCATGCAGACTAGTGCTGCTGCTGCCGCCGCCGCCACCGCTGCTGCTTCTGCTTCTGCTGCTGCTGCTACTGTTGGTGATGGTGGTTTAGGGTCGGGTGATGGTGAGAATGGTGGTGGCATGGATGTGGGCGACAGTGCGAAGCAGGGTGGCTGGCAGGTCGCAGGAGAGGGTGCGCTGCAGCAGGTGGGCGCGCACATACCAAGGCAGCAGCAGCGCCTCGATGCGCCTGGAGAGGCGGCTTCGGCAGCACACGTGGACGCACACGTGGATACCCACGTGGATGCACACGTGGATGCACACGTGCGCATGGACGGATGTGGGCCAATGGACATGCAGCATGCACGGGCCGGGGACGGCGCACATCTGGGCGGAAGCGGGGGGTTGACTGGCGCGCATGCGCACATGGAGGGGGAGGCGCAGAGCCACATGCGCGCGCACAGCAGCGAGCACGTGCGCACGTGGGGCGCGCATGGTGCAGGGGAGGGGGGTGAGTCGCGGGGGCATGGCCTGGGCGGGCACGCACTGGCGGAAGCCCAGGGGGGCTTTCGGGAGCAGTGCATTGAAGGGCGGAGTGCGGAGCAGGAGGGGGTTTCGAGAAGATCAGGCGATCACGTGCAGTCAGCGAGCCTGGCAGTCGCGCCAGCACCTGAAAACACACCTGGAGAAGCACCTGGGCATGGCGACGGTGGAGTTGGGAGTCACGCGTTGGTGCAGGAGTCGCTAAGACCACAGGGTGATGCGAGTGGGGGTTTGCTGCATGAGAGTGAGGCAGGGGTTGGGGAACAGAGGGAGGTAGGGGCCGTGCAGTGTGGGCAGGCACAGGTGACAGTCCAGCAGGGGGGGCAAGAGGAGAGTATGGCTGGGCAGCAGGAGGTGGAGCAGCGTGCGCAGGAGCTGCAGCAGCAGCAGCAGCAGCAACAGGGCGTGGAGCATGACAGTGTCTTGGCTCCTCCGCTCGCCTGCACGCTTGCTGCTGTGCACACAGCAGAGAGCAGCGTGCATGCACAGGGCGACATGCAGCAGCAGCAGCAGCTGGCTGTCTCGCCTCCACAAGTGATGGCGCCCCCACAGCAGCAGGGTGAGGAGGGTGGGCAGATGGAAGGGCTGGAGGCTGGTGTTGTGGTGACAGGGCAAGACGGGCAAGCGGGGCTCAGTCCGGATGCCGCCGGGGCAGCTGCTGGTAGCGCGGGCAGTGCTGGCAGTGGCAGTGCTGGTGCTGGCATTCTGGATAATGCTGCTGCTGCTGCTGCTGCTGAAGCAACCGTTGCTGCTGGTGGCACTGCTGCAGCTGCTGCTGGTGGCACTGCTGCAGCTGCTGCAGCTGCTGCTGCTGCTGCTGCTGATGGTGGTGGTGAGGCAGTGTTGGATGGTGGTGAGAGTGCAGGTGCTGCGTTGGGTTTCAGTGGAGTGGGTGCAGTGGGCATGGGCAGTGAGGTAGTGGCGGAGGTTCAGGAGCAGCAGCACATGCTGATAGACCAAACCATGTTCCACCCACCTCCTCGTAAGTCTCCACTGATTCCATCATGCAATGCATGTGTCTATGCAATCGGATTCTCCTCATGCATCCATGGCCTCATGCACTCTTGGGCAGCAGTTTTTTTCGTACGGATGTCTGTTCTCCTTACTTCTTGCCCTCTTCCGTTTCTGTCGCTCCAGCTCCCCCGGAGGCGACGAGTGCGATGCAGGTGATGATCAACGGCAAGCCGTGGGACGTGCCCATTGGGCTGCTGGATGTGCGCAACAGCTTTGGGGAGGGCGCCGTGATATTTGACGCACAGGGGTGTGCCGTGCCAACCAACGAGATGGGCATCACATTGGAGCCTTTGCAGGAAGGCAGCAGCTACACCGTCCAGGGGTGAGAGATCAGTCACTCTCTTCTATAAATTGTTTCTTTTTTCACCTTTTTTTCCAAAGAAACGTTATCAGTGTTTTCTTTTGCAGTCTGGTCCGTGTACGGGTTAGCACTACCTGTTTGACTATTGTTAATCCTGTTTCCCCATACCGTATCTTCGTGCTGCTCATCCTCCCTTTGCCGTTTCCAGGGGCGACATTGCGCTGGTCTCTGACCCTGTTCCTTTGCTACCTGATGGTAAGTCGCATTGGCTGTTTTTTCCTCCACTGTCGTTTGAACACAACACTTCCGTCAAATGTCAAGCATACCGGTACTTCGGGTTGCTCATGTTTCCTGTTTGTGTGTGTGCAACAGATGACCTTGTGCCCGACTCCACGTTGCTTTGAATCCCACACTTGTTTTCAAGACATGCACTGGCTGCTGGGTATGTTGTTTGTTTGGACACCTCCACCAGCCTGCAAGACCGTTAAGAGCAGTTGGATTTTTTGCCAGTTGATGTTGCCCTAGACGTAGCTACCGTCATCACCCGGATATAAGACAGTGTTGAATAGAAGACAGGGGGTGTCTATTATCCGGGTGTCTCTTATAAACGGGGTAGCCTCATTATAAGAAACCTATTTGTGTGTATGAATTAAGCCTGTGTAGGGGTTAGGGGCAATTGTATAACGAGGGGGTATCTTCTAAACGGTTCTTTGTCCATTTATAAAGACTTATAAGACACCCTAAACCGTCCCAAATACAAGAGAGCCCAAGCATTTTTGCCTGTGTACGAGATAAGACATATGTCTTATATCCGGGCGATGACAGTATGTAGATAATTATTGCCAAATTTGCTTGAAGGTAGGGTGGTGGTTGCAGCCGGTAGTAGTTTCTGGTTTTTCACGCAACATCAGACTCCTGCACTGTATTAGTAGCCAGATTGATGGGGGCTGAACAACTTGCTTGTACATATGGTACAGTTGCACATGTGACACTGTTCTTGCATCACATCTCATCTAGCATGGGGCCACGCCCTTCTCTGAACGGTTGGCTTGGCTGTGTCCATGGTGTTCTGACAGGCACGTGACCAGTTGTGTCTTGCTTGGTGGAACTTATGGGATGAGGATCACATCATCTGCACGGAAGGTAGACAATGGTCAATCCGTCAGTTGAATAATGCAGCAGTCTGCAAAAGCACAACAAGCTTTGTCTGCACCTACCAGCCTTTATCACGTTTGGGTCTTCAATGTTGTTGATTTCCAATATCGCTGCCACTGTAGTATAGTACTTTCTTGCAATGCCATAAAGAGTGTCACCCTGCAAAGAACAACATGTAAATCCCTCAAACACATACATGGTGTTTTCCCATCTTGGGGTGAACGAATATAAGCACACTTACCTGCTGGATAGTATACATGCGCGGAATCCACAGTGTCTCTCCTTTATGGATAGTTTCAGACCGCAGGTTGTTAGCCTGAGAGGAAGAACGCAGTTCAATAAATAAACGGACTAGCACGAGGTGCAAAAGTGGTATGACGAAAAACGCTTTGAACTTGCCGTCAGGAGTTCCTCACCTGTGCAATCACATCCACTGAAGACCCGAAGGTGCGAGAAATAGCGGATAGCGAGTCACCCCTTTGGACGACATAGTATGAACGGCCCTCAATGTTTTCTAGTCCTGAAAGTAAGGAATAAACAGCCAAGGTAGGTGCCCTGAGTAGGCCTTGTAAACGAAGTGTAATGATTCGTTATTCTGATTCTTGAGAGATAATATCCGTTCAACAAAGATACGCATTCAAATGGCTATCGGACAACTTACCGCCACCGAACGGCCTCGAGCGATTAGCGAGCACAAGGAGAGATGCGCCTGCGCCAGTTGCAGCAGCGCCAACGATGTTACGACGGGAGAAAATCGTAGACTCTTCAGACAAGGGTTTGAAGCGGAAACGCTGGGTACTTCGTGGAGCCAAAGGGACAGCAAATCGTGAGCCGAGGGAGAGCGGTTTTTGAAGGGAAAGCGCAAAAGTGGGCATGATGGAAAGGTTGTGAGCGTGCGCGTGACAAGAAGGGAACACGAGGACGCTGGAGGAGGATGAGGCCGTCCGAAGAAGTGAGAGAGAGCTTGACATGCAACTGGTACCGAAAGACGCCATAGTTACTTGTGACGCAGGGAAACAAAATCAACTGTCAAACAACATGGTCCTGGTGGACTGGCACCCTCGAAAATGCACGCCGAAAATGCAAGTCACAATTGACACATTGACACAACATTTCTGGAAGAGCATGGCCGATCTTTATCGCGTACAAGTTTGGAACACCACATCGGAAATTGTTTTTGCTTCAAACGAATGCCTGGCCACACATTCTCAACCCAGTCCCTCGATAATAAGGGAAAACCCATTCTGAGCGGTTTCGGCTTTGGCTCAAGAAGGGCCGTTGGGTTTCGACTTCTCGACCTCGGTCCTTCACTGCAGAGCTTCTTCATTTTGTGATCTTTAGTCCGTTCTTCCGTTTGACGCTGGCGCTTGGCGCATTTCAACTGGCATGGCGACGGCAGTGTTCGAAATGGCTGCAGGAGCGACGATCGGTCTGACTGTCTGTCCCAGTGCCTCTCTCGTTGCTCGTCCGAGGTAGCACCCAACAGGCTTCTCTTACACGTAGTAACAATTCCATCTACACCGTACTGTGTCGATGAATTGACCTCTTGTTGTGCCATTCTCATTCACGATCGCGTCGCGTTTCCCCTTCTGTCTGCGTTGTGTCTCCCAGGCCAGCTGCCCACCAATGCAGCATTAAGAACCTCAAATCCACGTCATTGTGTGGCGCGTCCTTCTCAATGCGAAGCACGTCAACAGCTGGAGCAGCAGCAGTCTGTGTCGGGAAGGGAGTGTGTGTGGTTGCTGCTACAGGGTTTGGGAAGCCGGGTGGTGGTAAGGGCAAAGGAGACACGAAGGATGCGGAAAAATCCCTTAAGTCAACGATGGAGCTCGATAAGTTCATTGATCAGCTCAGAAGCGCAGGCGATAATGAGGTCCGACTCCCCTGCTTGTTGGATACATCATTTACCTTGGAACGTCGCTGGCTTGGCGAGATTCATAGTTTTCTTCCTACAATCCACGGCAAACTTGCAAGCTGCAACCACTTTTCCGCTGTTTTGGGTCCTAACCCATTTCCTGGTTATCGAACCTAACCCAGGCTGCAACTCCCACTCCCTGCACCGCATTGTTTTGCCATGTTTCAGCTGCCTCTTCTGGTGGCTGAAAACGTGCTTGCCTTTGATCAGAAGTTTTGGCTTCGACTGGTCACACGGGCAGAGTCAAGCTCCTCGGTGGATGACAGGGTAATGCAGTATGGATGACAAGCTCCCACGTCATAATCACCGATTCACCGCTTTATCAATTATCTCTCAACCATTTTTCCTTGACACTGACTCTGTGTGCCTGTATGCGTGCTTCGTAGAGGGATTTCGAGGAGCTGGCCCGGAATGTAATGGAAATGGTGGAAAAGGTGGTTAAGAAAACGCATGTAAGTTGTCCATTTCACTTCGTCTGCTTATGGAAATCACCATGCCACTATTCATCATACACGTTACCTTCCATTCTAAGATTAGGAGTTTTTGTCACTTCAAACCCTGCCTACTTATTATCCCAGGAAAACATGGACAGCACCAGTGATGCACTGGCATCCATGCTTAGGCAGCTTGGAGACGAAAATGAAGAAATCTCTTGGCCACCTTCAGGGGAGGTCTTGGCCAAGCTGCGACAGGTTCGTAAATCTTATACCACCTCTGTACAGAGTGGAGCTCCTATGTAATATGGGGATTCCTGGTTGCAACTGCAAGCACTTCTATGCAACTACTTATACCCACATGGAACACTAATGTCAATTTGCAGGAAGTCGAGCGATGGGATGAGGATGGCCGCATTGATGAGAAGTTTCTTGCCTCCGTGTCAGCTCAATTGAGACAGGTATTGTCAACAATACATGTGACTGGTATTTTTCCCCTGGTAGTTTATGCGCGGAAGAGTTTCACACAGGCTATTGTTGTGTTGCATTGTGCAGGCTACAGAGGCCACAGATAAACCTGGGCTCGTGGCCATGTTGCAGAAGGTCCTTCAGTTATACGCCTCCACTCGACTAGGTCGAAGGAGCTATGCAACTCGACGTATGCACCCTGTGTACACTGTTAAAGCCATGTACAAGGTTTCAGTTTCCTTCAGTAATCTAAGCCTGCGCAAGATTTCCCTGTCTCCTCTTGTATTCTCTGCAGGTGATGGTACCATTGATGAAGCTGAGGAGTTTTTGGAAACCTTGATACAAGGTATGAAAGAAATGTTTGAAGAAAACAGAACATACAAGGCATAAGCAGCTGTTTTGCACAGCAGCTACTTCAAAGAATGGCTGACACAGTTGAAAACACGTGCTTGCAGCTCCTGAGGAGACTTGGGACTCCCTTCTGCAAACCCACCTCACTTGTGGAGGGGGGGATCTTCCAGAAGCTGATTTGTATACCACCCTCGAGAAGAGGGCAGAGAGAATCTTCATGCGCACTGTAAGTATCAATACTCCTCTTTCTTCAACTGCAACATCAACGTTCATCCATCCATCCAGCTAATTGTCTTTCAACTGCAATGGCTCCTTCACTTGCAGGAGAGCGGCTCATACGAGCAGAGAATACTGGGAGAGTATTTGAAAGAACTGGAGGCTCGAGCCCGAGCAGTTGCTGCTGCCTACTCCACACCTCCTCAGCTGCCATCCTGATTAGCTGAGATAGAAGCTACGGAAATCCACCCAGCGAAAGTAGGCATGAGCTAGTAATAGGCTCCACACGCTTGAAGGGGCTTCTTGCATTGTGAGTGAATGCTGGCGGTTGCAGCTCCGGTCCAGAGAGTCCTCGCTTGCGATGATCAGATACTACCTGGAGAGAATGAAGAAAGCAGTGATTTCACTATCTGTGTCAAGACAAAGTGATAAGTGCATTGAAATAGGCTGGAACATACAGGATCAGCATGTGCTGTGCCGTAACACTTCAAAGACTTGTCCTCCAATGCCCGAAGCCCTGCACAGCAAATCCTTTCGGGAATGTTTACAATCGTATCGGGCAAGAAAAACACAAATGAAGCAATAAAAGACATACCGTACCTGGTTGTGATGTTGCCAAGTGAGCAGTCGGCCTGAAAATTAAGGCGTGCTGCTGACTCAACCTGGGGTGTACCATGCTCCCACTGAAGCAGGCTAAAACAGAACCGTCCCTGACATCGTATTTCTCTTGCACTTCAAAACCCTGAAGAAAAACACAGGCACAACGATTATCAGATTATGTGTAAATCACAAATTACTCCTCTGCAAATCACCAATTCTCACCTCCATGTAGTGGTCATGTGCCATGTGCGGACTACCCATATTGTGCAGCCCATTATGCATGCGCTTTTTCTTTGCATGGCGAAGTGCGGTCTTGCCCTCTGCCCCAACAAGGAGAGGCTGCGGAGGAGCAACGAGGACACGTGACCCCTTTTGTAGCTGCACTGTGAGTGTTTGTGCCTGGTGACCAGCACTGTCGTCTGCTTGCAATTGAGTTCCTGGCAGCTTGAAAGGAGGAATGCTCGAGTTGAAAGTGAAGCTTGAGTTACTCCCATTGTTACATGGGAAGAAGTGCCATGGAGAACCTCCGTTGACAGATGGTGACTTGCCATTAACCGCACCATTTGCATTCAAACCTGCAGAGCACCAATGCCAGGCTGTTAGACCGGTTACATAAGATTCTTCGAATATCCAATTCTCAGTTCAAGTACCATTCTGGTTCCCTCGAGGTAGATCCTTCTTGTTAGCAAGCTTGCTAAGTCTGCGCCTGTGCTTCGCTTCCGCCCTGAGAGAGAATATGACTTGCTCAGCTGGTAGCATCTCCAGAACTGGAACCTCGTCCCCATATTCTGCAGATGACACTTCAGATATGCTCTGTTAAAGGGCTAATAAGGTCTACCAAAATCATTTTACCCATAAATTCACACTGGGGAAAAGTCTATACCTGAAAGGGGAAGGTTGATTGTTGTGCATTGCCTCCCAAAAATTGAAATCGCAGCTCTGTCATGAGCCCTTGCTGCGTCCTTCTCGTCGTCCCAATTTCCAAGATATCTGCAAACGACATGCCAAGTTGTTGAATGACGAAGACAAAAAGGCAACGATCTTATTCAGTGTGTAAAGACAGAACTGCACATTTTTCGCCTGGAGTTGTAGAGGTAGGCTTCCCATCTGCCGCTTGGATCAGAAGACACACCAGAGAACCTGTGCTTCTTCGTCTGATCCACCTCAAACTCCGTACTCTGAGCTGGAGTCACTGGAGCCAGTGAGCTCTCTGGAGTAAGTGTCACCCTGCACAAGATACGTTTAATGAACATAAGTGAACGCGTTTCAAACCTAAACACAGTAAGATTTCAGATGACAGGTCCCTTACTTGGTAGCTCCTCCAATTGCATCCGTCTTCTCCAAATCAAGCTTCAATTTCTTGCTCGCCGGCTCAAATGTTAAGCCTGGCCTTGGCATTGCAGGAACCAGGTCAGGCATACTGCTGAGTGACTCCTGAACGGATGCCATCGGGAACTTTGCGGAACCGGTAGATGTTGGCGTGTAGGGAGAGCCTAAAGTCAGGTTGAGCACATCAGAGTCCATTTACAATGAGCAAGAACAGTCTAGCTTCTGCTGCAATTCTAGTGTGAGACTTCAATGGTCTGAGACTTGAAAGGAAGGTGGAGAAGAAGACCGCGGAAGGGATAAGCGGAGATACCCAACGAGAATAATATGCCGCTTCTCGATATGACAACCTGTGCTAGCTGGGCCTCCCATTGTAATCGACAGGCACCGCCACCAGGTCGCATAAGGTGGGACAGGCACAGCAAAAGTCTCCCTGGCTCACCGAAACAAGTTCGAGGTGATGGCCATCACTCAATTGATGAACTCATTCACTGAAGGCCACAACTGGGCGGCCGGCTTGGTATGTAAGCAGCGACAATAGCCACCAGTTAAGTTGGTGTCCGTAGGATCGACACTGCTCTCTTGCCATTGCTGCTGTGTCCTCGAAACACCTTGATTCTCGGGCGGGCGTCCATGATCTTCTGCAATTGTCGCGAGCATCTCGATGGGAAGAATCTGACTTGTGGAAGCATGATTGGCATCTGTTTTTCTCTTGAATGATTAATGCATTCAGGTCGGCATTGCCTTGTCAAACCACACCCTTCGTGGTTGACTCAGAGGCAGTACCAAGGCTCTTGGGTCTCCAAAGGGCAAATAGGAATCCATTCGAATGACACGTCAGGACACCTTCAAATCCCATCGGATCAAAGCACTGCACGCTTTCTTCTCTTTAGAGCCTGCACGTGGCGGAGATAGGCGGGCGCATGGCGATAAATCACGTGAGCGAAAAGCGTTAAAATCTGCAGCGGGAGCTGGAGGTAAGCCGCTATACGTTTTACTCTGCCCCCTCATAGTCATGGTAACTCTCCTCTCAGTCCTGCTGCTGATCGGCAATCACAGGTGGCCGTGCCAGCAAACTCCTGCACTCCCCTTGCATGCACAACGCCACGCAGGTGGCTCTCAAAAAGTCCTCCATTGAAGAGCGGATCTCAGCAGGTGGCCGTCAGAAGTGAAATATATAGGAGCACATGCACGAAATAAGGGCCACTAGTGGTGCGAGCAATCTAACACAAATAGATTCTGTGTGGCTGGCATGTGCTGTGTTCTTTATTGAGTTTTTTCGTGAAGCTTAGAGCATTTTCAATGACAACGTGTCGTTTTTAATATTATATTGGTCTGCACAAAGCCTGACTACTCCTGCTAGGGTCTTAGTAATTAGTGTGTCAGCTAGTTACAACCAGATGTGCATGATCCCTAAAACGATTTCTGATTTATTGGGACTAAATTGGTGTAGGAGAGCAATTTTTGGCTGCACAAACACATGCTGACCTGTTTTAGGTAGGTTCCCATAATTGGCGTTTTCAACGTTTGGTAGCAAAGGTAGTGTAGGAGATTCTGTGAGTTGTGTTTGGGTAGTACTGAAATCAATAACGGAGATGCTGGAAAATCTAGGTGATCTGTTCATCAGACTCCTGGCACATCGCATGCTCCCCAGTTTCCACACCACTCTATGCTAGCCATAACTAGCCATTGACACGCGTTTTCCGCTGCCCTAATTCCGTACCTGAAGCCGGTGGTATCCGAGATGGATGCCTTCGAGAGTTACTTCCGAGCGGCGGACACGAATGGAGACGGAGTCATTAGCGGGGCCGAGGCCGTCACCTTCCTCCGACGATCCGACCTTCCTCAGATGACTCTCGCAAAGGCACGTCCAGCGATCATTCTACGGCATTAACTCTGAAAAGCCTGAACATTTTTCGTCTTTTAATGACACAATCACCTATGAAGGACCTGCATCACCGTGTGCGATATCGTCGTGTCGCTTGCGATAGCCTGCAAGCATGCAAACGGTCCTTCCCGAGGGCGCATATCAGCCATTCCTTTTCATGCATCCCTGTCTCTACCCCAGCCCGTCATCCGCCATCCCTCACTTATTGCCATTCACCACAGCTCCCGTTACCTCTGACATCTCGCACTCCCCCATCCACACCCCCGCGCATCTGCAGGTGTGGCAGTACTCGAGTGTGTGTCAGGCTAGGGCAGTCACGCGAATCTGAACATGACTCAGCGTTCCTCCTCCATTCCACCACCCTTACCGCTACCTCCTGTCTGCCATTTGCCACCCTTACCACTACGACCCCTCTGCAAGTGTGGCAGTACTCGGACGTGCGTCAAGCTGGCGCGCTTCACCAATCTGAACATGAGTGAAATTCCATTTTCCATCTCGCTTACCACAACCTTCTGTCTGTAACCGCTACCACCCCTCTGCAGGTGTGGCAGTACTCGGACGTGCGTCAAGCTGGCGCGCTTCACCAATCTGAACATGAGTGAAATTCCATTTTCCACCTCGCTTACCACAACCTTCTGTCTGTAACCGCTACCACCCCTCTGCAGGTGTGGCAGTACTCGGACGTGCGTCAGGCCGGCGCGCTCACGCGCCCGGAGTTCTTCAACGCGCTGCGCCTCGTCAATGTAGCGCAGTCCGGCCGCGACCTCACCCCCGACCTCGTGCGAGCCGCTCTCAATGGCCCTGCCGCCTCGCAGATCCCTCCTCCTCGCATCGCTGGAGCTCCGTCTCCTGCCGCTGGTGCGCCTGCCGCTGGTGCCTCTGCTCCCCCTGCTGCTCGAGTCCCTGCTCCTGCTCCATCTGCTGCTGCCGCTGCTGCAGCTCCTGTTGTTGGTGCCGCTGCTCCTGGTGTTGCTGCAACACCTGCAGCAGCAGCACCTCAGCAGCCCCGCCGCCCGTCGCCTACTCCCACTCGTCCCGGGATGGGACCAGGCGCCGTTGCTGCTCCACAGCCTCTCTCCTCCTTCCCTTCTGGCCTCTCCGTAGGCTCGGCCAGCGCAGGACTAGGCTCGGGAGGGCTGACAGCAGCGGCGGCAGCAGCCGGGCTGAAGCCGAAGCAGCCTGGCGCTTTGTCGGACGTTTTTGTGGAGTTTGGTTCGTTTGATGTGAAATCTAAGTCCGTGCAGCCTACTAGTGCGCCTGTGAGGAGGGAGGTGCCGGGGTCGCTGCAGCAGCAGCAGCAGCAAGCACAGATGGGGACGATTCAGGTGCAGCAGCAGATGGCTGCTAAGCAGCAGCAAGATCAGTTGCAGCAACAGCAGCAGCAGTTGCAGCAGCAGCAGCAGCAGCAACAGTTGCAGCAACAGCAACAGCAACAGCAGCAGCTGCAGCAACAACAACAGCAGCAGTTGCAGCAGCAGCAGCAGCAGCTACAGCAGCAACAGGCCTTCCTGCCACCACAGCAGCAGCAGGCAGCAGGGGAAGAGAAGCCATCTCAAGGGCTTGTTGCACCTGCTGCTACCGTGTCCGCCCCTACTGCTCCTTCTGCACCTACCACTGCCGGCCCCGCTTCTGCCGACCAAAGCATGTCTTCCTTTGCACAGCCTCCTTCTCCATCTGCTCCGGCTGCTGCTCCTGCTGCTCCTGCTGCGCCTGCTGCTTCGGAACTCACAGCATCAAGTTCAGGAGCTGCAGATGCGGGTATGCAGGCAGCAGCAGCAGTACAGGACGCAGACAAGATGGGGGCAGGTGGAGTGAGCACAGGAGCAGCAGGAGCACCAGCAACAAGAGACGGAGCAGGAGGGAATGTGAAACGGACAGCAGACGACATCGCAAAGGCGTCCCTGAATGCTTTCCTTGTAGGAGGTGTTTCTAACGCCATGGTGCCCAAGCAACCCCCAGGCACTGCCCCAGCAGCAGCAGGAGCATGGGCAGGAGCAGCAGCAGGAGGAGGAGCAGCAGGAACAGGGCAGTTCGTTCCAAGCCAAGCCATCGTGCCCGCAGCTGCCGCTCCTGGTGCTGTTGTCCCTGCTGGGGTGGCAGCGGCAACTGCAGGGGGAGCAGCGGCGGCAGCAGGGGGGCCAGCAGGAGGGGGGTATGTGATGGTCCCTGGTGACCCTCAGCCATGGCCCCGACTCACAGTGGCAGAGGTGCAGCGCTGTGCGCAGGTGTTCAGTGCGGTGGATACGGATAGGGATGGGAAGATCACAGGGGAGCAGGCGAGGAAGCTGCTGATGAGCTACAAGGTCCCTATCGGTGAGCGCTTTTCCTTATTCTTTCCTTCCAATCCCACTGCCTCCTTCCCTCCTCCGAGTCCTTCCCTCTTCATCTTCCCTCCCCCTTTCCTCCGACGCTTTCCTCCATGTCTCTTGCATATCGCCCCTTCCCCTCTGCTCTTCGTCTCCATCTCTCTGCTCAATCCTGCTTGCCCATCCCTTCGTTCACTCCTCCCCCCTCCCCTTCCTCCCCACCCCAACCGCCTCCCAGACGTGCTGAAGCGGGTGTGGGACATGGCCGATCAGGACAAGGACGGCATGCTCACCCTGCGAGAGCTCTGCACCGCTCTGTACCTCATCAACCACGTGAAGGCAGGCCGCCAGCTGCCGCCCACCCTGCCCCAGGGCATCCACCTGGACGAGCAGCCACCGCCCCCTGCTGCTCCTGGCGGTGGTGGTGGTGCTGCTGCGTCTGCGCCTGTCACTGCTTCATCTGCAGTTTCAACCGCGGCCCCTGCTGCTGCTGCTGCTGCTGGGCCGGGAGGGGAGGGAGGAGGGGGTGCAGCAGGTGGGGCTGGTGCGCAGGCAGTGACTGCTTGGAGACACCAGCCAGGTGCGTGGGGTGGTGAGGGGCAAGGGGCGTGCATGGGGTCACGTGCGCCCCTGCCGTGTGTGTGCATGGGCTGGGCTTGAGCATGTTTCTGCAACGTTTCAAACGAGTGAATCACCGTAGGCTTTGGGTGGCCTCTTGTGCATTGCTTGCCTCATCTGCGGTTCCCTCTGCGAATCATCCTCTCCAACCACCACCTCCCATGCCTTGCCTGCAGTGAGTGGCACGCCCGAGCAGCAGCAGCAGCAGCGACCAACTGTAGTGGTGCGTCACTTACCCCCTTCCCCTCCTGTCATGTTCTTATGCCCATCTCATGCCTTTCTCTTTCCTTTTCTCTTCCATAATGGTCCCACCCTCCTTCCCTCCCTCGCGTCCTCCCTCCCGTCCCTCGCCCCTTCCCATCCCCCCTGCATCATCATGATCTGCTGCGTCCCCCTCTCTCCCAAATCTGGAGGTTTTTTCTGTTTGTTTTGACCTTGTGATTTCTAAACCCATAAATTTTCATGTCCCCTGCAGCCTAACCTATGCCCATGACCCACCACGCACCATGCATCCCCACAAACATCCATCAGCTGACGGGTGTGGGGCAGATTCCCGTGCCAGCAGAAGCAGGAGACGTGGATGCATCACGGCCGGTGTACCGCTCTCAGGCACCCGAGCTGGAGGGCGAGAACATGAATCCCAACAACTCATCCCATACCCACATGCCCAACCCATGCCCTACTTAACAACATGCAACCCCACATGCCATCAGCTGACAGGCGTGGGGCAGATGCCAGTGCCAGCAGAGGCAGGTGACGTGGATGCATCACGGCCGGTGTACCGCTCCCAGGCGCCCGACCTGGAGGGCGAGAAGGTGGCTCAGCTGGAGGCGGAGGAAAGGGAGAAGATTGAGAGCAAGCACAGGGAGGCGGAGGAGATTGGGAAGAAGGTGAGTAAGATGGCCTTATTGGGAAAAAGGTAAGTGGGGCGGAGGGAGGGGGATGGGGCGGGGGTGAGAGGGAGACTTTTGAGTCGACTCAAAAGTCAGGGGGAGGGAGGGGGATGGGGCGGGGGTGAGAGGGAGACTTTTGATTCGACTCAAAAGTCAGGGGGGAGGGAGGGGGATGGGGCGGGGGTGAGAGGGAGACTTTTGAGTCGACTCAAAAGTCAGGGGGAGGGAGGGGGATGGGGCGGGGGTGAGAGGGAGACTTTTGAGTCGACTCAAAAGTCAGGGGGAGGGAGGGGGATGGGGCGGGGGTGAGAGGGAGACTTTTGAGTCGACTCAAAAGTCAGGGGGAGGGAGGGGGATGGGGCGGGGGTGAGAGGGAGACTTTTGAGTCGACTCAAAAGTCAGGGGGGAGGGAGGGGGATGGGGCGGGGGTGAGAGGGAGACTTTTTGAGTCGACTCAAAAGTCAGGGGGAGGGAGGGGGATGGGGCGGGGGTGAGAGGGAGACTTTTGATTCGACTCAAAAGTCAGGGGGGAGGGAGGGGGATGGGGCGGGGGTGAGAGGGAGACTTTTGAGTCGACTCAAAAGTCAGGGGGAGGGAGGGGGATGGGGCGGGGGTGAGAGGGAGACTTTTGAGTCGACTCAAAAGTCAGGGGGAGGGAGGGGGATGGGGCGGGGGTGAGAGGGAGACTTTTGAGTCGACTCAAAAGTCAGGGGGAGGGAGGGGGATGGGGCGGGGGTGAGAGGGAGACTTTTGAGTCGACTCAAAAGTCAGGGGGAGGGAGGGGGATGGGGCGGGGGTGAGACGGAGGAGCACATCGATGAGCCCTCTGCTTTGGTGTTGTGAGGTTGTGCTCTCCTTTGCTTGCTGGTTGCTGCTGCCTCAGCCCCTCAGCCCGCCCAACCCCCTACTCCCTACCCCACTCCCTCCCGCGTGCTCACTCTCTTTTGTGCTCACTCGTCCGGCACCGTTGATTGTGTGCGTGACTGCCCCTGTTTCTGTTTGACTGTCCCCGTGTGTGCATCACTGAGCCCCCTGTGCGTGTACATGCTGCCACGGGCAGGTGTGGGAGACGGAGCTACAGATAGCGGACTACAAGCGCAAGATCGACTTCTATCGCGTCAAGATGCAGGAGATTGTGAGCCTGCATGCATCACCACACCGTGCCATTCGCTCTATGCATCACCATACCATGCATGCATGCATGCAATGCAACTTATTGTTCCATTCGACTCAATGCTTTCTATGTCAAGAATGGCAGTCACCAGTATAACTGTCAGCTTGCTCGCATGCACGTGTCATCTGTAGGCGTCCTTCTCATTACATTCCTGCACCTGTGTGCTTCTCCCATTGTCCACGTGTATTTGTGCATGTGTGTGCCACGCGCTGCCCTACCCTGTGGTTGGCAGATCATGTTCAAGAGCCGCTGTGACAACCGCTTGAACGACGTCATGGAGCAAGTGGCAGCGGAGAAGAGGCATGTGAGTGGCAGCGGAGAAGAGGCATGTGAGTGGCAGGGCGAGCAAGGTGCTAACGAGCGTGCGGTGCAGCGTATGAGCGTGCAGTGCAGCGTATGAGCGTGCGGTGCAGCGTATGAGCGTGCGGTGCAGCGTATGAGCGTGCGGTGCAGCGTATGAGCGTGCGGTGCAGCGTATGAGCGGGCGGTGCAGCGTATGAGCGTGCGGTGCAGCGTATGAGCGGGCGGTGCAGCGTATGAGCGGGCGGTGCAGCGTATGAGCGTGCGGTGCAGCGTATGAGCGTGCGGTGCAGCGTATGAGCGTGCGGTGCAGCGTATGAGCGTGCGGTGCAGCGTATGAGCGTGCGGTGCAGCGTATGAGCGTGCGGTGCAGCGTATGAGCGTGCGGTGCAGCGTATGAGCGTGCGGTGCAGCGTATGAGCGTGCGGTGCAGCGTATGAGCGTGGGGTGCAGAGTGTGAGCGTGCGGTGCAGCGTGTGAGCGTGCGGTGCAGCGTATGAGCGTGCGGTGTAGCGTATGAGCGTGCGGTGCAGCGTATGAGCGTGCGGTGCAGCGTATGAGCGTGCGGTGCAGCGTATGAGCGTGCGGTGCAGCGTATGAGCGTGTGGTGCAGCGTATGAGCGTGCGGTGCAGCGTATGAGCGTGTGGTGCAGCGTATGAGCGGGCGGTGCAGCGTATGAGCGTGCGGTGCAGCGTATGAGCGTGCGGTGCAGCGTATGAGCGTGGGGTGCAGCCTATGAGCGTGCGGTGCAGCGTGTGAGCGTGCGGTGCAGCGTGTGAGCGTGCGGTGCAGCGGTATATTTCTGACAATATATTTGTTGTAGTCGTTACATGTATTTCTTGTAGTCGTTACATGTATTTCTTGTAGTCGTTACATGTATTTCTTGTAGTCGTTACATGTATTTCTTGGAGTCCTTGTTCCCGTTCCCTCTTCCACCACCTCCCATGCACCCCTGTGTGGTATCGTGTGTGGTGTGGTACTGTCTGGTGTGGCATGGCATGGCATGGCATGGGCATGGCAGTACGACATGCTGTGCAAGCGCTACGACGAGCGCTTCAAGGCGTCCATGCCAGGTGTCAAGTCGCGATTGGCCTACGAGGACAGCGTGCTCAAGGAGCTACAGGTGGGTGGCTCGGTGTTAAACTGCTCCCTGGTGCTGCTTGCGCTGGTGATGCTCATCGCACGTGTGTCTTCTCCATCATGCCATGTGGTTCCATGCCAAGATATCATACCATGTGTTGCTGCAACGCCTCCCCACTTGTCACCCCATGTGCCATTAAACGACACCCCGCGTGCCACCCCTGTATGCCCCCGCCGCACGTGCCACTCACGTGCCACCCCACATGTCACCCCACGTGCCATCCCGTGTCCCACCCACCTCACAGGAACGCAAGGCGGAGTTGATGGAGGTGGTGTCGCGATTCCGAGCCACCACTGACGTCTCCGACCTGCTGCAGGTGCGTGCGTGCTTGCTTGCTTGCTTGCTTGCTTGCTTGCTTGCTTGCGTGCTTGCTTGCTTGCTTGCTTGCTTGCTTGCTTGCTTGCGTGCGTGCTTGCTTGCTTGCTTGCTTGCTTGCTTGCTTGCTTGCTTGCTTGCTTGCTGCCCGCTGCCTCCCCTCCTCACCGCTCCTCTCCTCGCTCATCTCCTCTCCTCCCCTCTCTCCTCTGCTCTCTCGTCTCCCCACCATCCCAACCTACTCACATCAGCCGTTGCATGCCGCCGCCCTCTCTCCACCCAATCAACCGCTTCTCTCATCCATTCCACCACCCGCTGGCCCTCCTGACCCGCCTCTCCCCAGGGCCGGGCGACAAGCTGTGAATGGACCTGGAGGATGCGAGGAGGTAGCTGGAACATGCGTCACCACCCTCTCTTCCATTCCACCACCCCCCTCAATCCCCTGCCCCTCCCCACTCCCCCCCTCTCCCCTCTCTTCCGTCCCACCAGGGCCGAGCGGAGAAGGTGGGGATGGATCTGGAGGATACGAGAAGGTACTCTCGAGAGTATTCTAAGTCACGAGGCACCACCCTCTCTTCCATTCCGCCACCCGTGTCATTCCTCTCCCCCCTCGTCTCAGGGTCGGGCGGACAAGCTGGGGATGGATCTGGAGGATGCGAGGGGAGCTGGGACCCACGGCATCGCCCTCTCTCAGCGTCCTCTCTCTTTCCTTCTGTTACCCCTCCTGGCTCCCCTCTCCCCTCGTCACAGGGCCGAGCAGACAAGCTGGGGATGGATCTGGAGGATGCGAGGGGAGCTGGGACCCACGGCATCGCCCTCTCTCAGCGTCCTCTCTCTTTCCTTCTGTTACCCCTCCTGGCTCCCCTCTCCCCTCGTCACAGGGCCGAGCAGACAAGCTGGGGATGGATCTGGAGGATGCGAGGGGAGCTGGGACCCACGGCATCGCCCTCTCTCAGCGTCCTCTCTCTTTCCTTCTGCCACCCCTCCTGGCTCCCCTCTCCCTCTCCCCTCGTCACAGGGCCGAGCGGACAAGCTGGGGATGGATCTGGAGGATGCGAGGAGGGCCATGAACCGGCAGGCCAAGGACCTGGGGCTCAAAGTGCGCCCGCTGCTCGGCGCTGCCTCGGGGCCTGATGGTGGGTTGCTCTTTCCACACACACACACACTTGCTGCCTTTCTCATTGTGTTTCTTGCTCTCTTTTTTCCTTTCTGATTCCGTCCATACGGGCAGCATTCCTTGAGACGTCGTTCACCTCGTCTACCGATCTCTTCTTACATGTTCCGGTTGGCATGCCTTCCCGTTCTGCCTTTCATGCATTGCTTGCACACGGATGCATGCATGCATGTTGCTCTGGACACGTTGCTATGCGTGAATGCTTGCAGCGTGGCGAGTGGCCCTACAGGAGAACATGGCGGATTGCGATGATGACTGGGACGAGTTCATGGACCAAGGTGAGCCCAGGCGGGGTGAGGTGAGGTGGGATGGGGTGCGATGAGGTGCGGCGAGGTGAGGTGAGGTAAGCCACTGTGGCATGAGTGTCACCTGCCCACACTCGCACCTCCCCCCATACATCCCCCATACCCCCGTGTGCAGGCTTCTCAGTGGTGCGCTCGTGCACGCACGACCTGCTGGGGGCAGATGACGATGAGTCAGTCTCATAGAGCTTGCAACCACCTCCGTCCACCCTCCACCATCCCCCATGACCCCCCCTCCTCCATTCCCTTTCCACAGGCTTCTCAGTGGTGCGCTCGCGCACGGACGATCTGCTGGGGGGGGATGACGACGAGCCGGCGCCCCTCATTCCCCTGGGCCCCGTCACTCCCTCCACCCCGCCCCTCGCCCCCGCTGCTGCCCCGGCCCCTGCTGCCGCTGCTGCTGCTGCTGGCGCTGCTGGTGAGGGTGCTGCTGGTGGTGCTGCCGGCGGTGCTGTGTCCGCTTGGGCCCTACTGGAGGAGGAGGAGGAGGAGAGGAGGGCGCGGGATGAGGTGGAAGAGGATGGGGAGAGGGAGGAGGAAGAGGAGGAAGGGAGGGAGGAGAGTAGTGGGGTTGGGCAGCTGGGGGGGTGGTCTAGAGGCAGTGGGAGGGGGCGAGGGGGGATGGGCGAGGAGGAGGAGGAGGAAGGAGGCCATGTTGTGGAGGAGGAACCTGAGACGCCTCAAGGGTGAGTTTCCCACACGTGTAAGTTAAAAAAGGTAGCCCGCCACTTGTCTGCAAAAGTTTAGCATACTCTACAGGTCACATCACTGGGAAGATATTAGCTGGTGCTTTCATTTCCTGGTGGTGAAGCCACTGACGTCCTTTTGTCAGCCCATCCAGATTTGTATTCTCCCTTACTGCTCATCTCCTTCATTCCCATCAGCTGCACCTTTCTTTCTATGCTCTGCGCCACCTGCTCTTGCGCCTGTGTGCTCTCAGCCCATCGGCGTGGGACAACCGCTTTGGGTTCACAGCCTCAGGAGTGGACTCGCCCTCTGTCTCCCAGGTCAGCGCTCCTCCTCCCATCATGCCACTACCACTGCTTCACCCCTCTCCTCTCACCTGTCCCTCTCAACCCCGTTCTATGCCTCCTTCTCTGTTCCGAGTTACAAATACACTGCGTACCGTTCCCAAAGTTTATTTTTTTTCGCTTGCCCTTCTTGTCTCCTGCATCCCATCCCATTCCTCTCCATTCACCAATCACAGTCCATGGACTTCCAGCCCTCAGCCTTTGCTGCCCAGGACTTTGCCTCGGGATTCGACCATCATTTCGATGCCACAGGCTCAGGCTTCCGAGCCTCCAGCCAGTATGACTCCAACTTCCGAGCCTCGAGTGAGTTTGACTCGCATGCACATCCAGAAGACTCAGCTTCTGAGCAGTCAGGGCTGGGGTTTGGCCGCCCAGACGATTACGCTGAGGTGGCTTCGGGCGGCGCTGCAGGATTTGATTCTGCTGCGGGGTTTGATTCTGCGTATGGAAGTGGGAGGGGCAGCGGTGTGTCGGAATCGCGATTTGATGAGCATGTGGGGGAGGAGGATGCATCGTCTGCAGACAACACTCCCATGGCAGGCGCAGGGGGACACTTTTCTCAGCGCGGGTGGGGTGCTTTCTAAACATCAATGCAACACACCTGATACTCAATGTTACCTTACAACCACTATACTAAGGGATACTCTGCACTGCAAGGGTTGATGTGTGATGCTTGTCTTATCAGGGACGATTGTCTGCCAAGTTGAAGCATTGGGTAGGTGCAACAAGCTCCTCATGTCTTACACTCCACTCCAGTGACTGAAACTTACCGTATTACAACATTGTAAGTAACTTATGGTAGGGCTACTGTGCAATCACTATACTACCATCACAGTGCTGCCTGCCGACTAAATGCCGGTCCCAGATAAAACCTCTGCACCAGAGGGTCCTCCAGCACCTGCTCCGGCGTGCCACACGCCACCACCCGCCCCTCATGCATCACGTACGCGCGGTCACACACCCCCAGTGTCTCCGCCACGTTATGGTCCGTGATGAGAATGGCCATGCCGTCCTGCTCTCTCAGCGCGCTCAGCATGCTCTGCATCAGCTGCACGCCTATGGGGTCCACGCCTGCAAACGGCTCGTCCACCATGAGCAACCGCGGCGGGTTGCATTCGCTGTCTTTAACTGCTAGCGCTCGGGCGACCTCCTGTGCGTCCAGTGGGGGTGGGGAGGAGGATGGGGAAGGGGGAGTGAGAGGATGGGGAGCAGCATGGCGTGGTATGCAGAGCTGCTGCGCCACATGAGTGCAGGCCTGTCAGTGTCTCGTCCAGCATGGGCAAACCAAGACACATGTAAGCGTGCATGCGAGTGCACGAATACATGCACATGCAACATGAGAAGTCGAATGCACATACCGCTCTTCGTCTCTCTCCACCGGACAGGTGGCGGCCCATAGTGTGTGCCACGTGGACCAGGTCAAACTTGCGTAGCAGCTCCTGCGAGGGCGAGGGGAGGGTGGGGAGCAGTTGAGAGGGGTTGAGGGACGAGAGTGGTGAGGTGAGGGCAGCAAGGGGGAGAGTGAATGAAGAGAGCAAGGCACGGGCCACAGTGGGTATGGCATGGCCATGCCATGGGCACAGCATGAGCATGCATCCACAAATCCATGCATGCATGCAAGCACACGCGCACCTCAATCCGGGAGTCATGCAGGTGAAAAGGCAGCGGCCCCTCCTCGAGAACAAGCCGAATGTTATCCGCCACGCTGAGCCCGCGGAAGATGCTCGCCTCCTGCGCCAGAAACGAGCTGACTGTTGAGTTGACGCAAAGCACACGCGCACCTCAATCCTGGCGTCATGCAGGTGGTGTGGCAGAGGTCCCTCCTCGAGAACAAGGCGGATGTTATCCGCCACGCTCAGCCCGCGGAAGATGCTCGCCTCCTGCGCCAGAAACGCCACGCCCATCCGCGCCCGCCGCTCCAGGGGCAGCCCCGTGACGTCGGCGCCGCCCAAGCGCACGGCGCCAGCTGTCGGGGTCTCGCGGCCGACGGCGATGCTGAAGGTGGTGCTCTTGCCCGCGCCGTTGGGACCCAGTAGGCCTACCTGTAGCGGGGGGGGACGAGAGAGGGTTGTGGTTGGGATGGTGATGGTTGTGATGGGAGAGGATTCGCAGCAGGAGGGGATAACGGTAGCAGAAGCATATATTAACGTGAATTCCTCATGAGGCAACATGCGTGAGGGGGGTAAGAGGGGCGGAAGGAGACCCCAAGGGACGGAACGGCAGAAAAAGAGGTAGTTACAATTTCTCGCGGGTTAACGTGGAGTGACACGTCATCCAGAATGACTCGGTTGCCGAATCTCATCCCGATTCCTTGCAGATCCAAACTCCGCGATTCTGCGACCTGCTTGCTTGCGCCGTCGTCGCTCGCACCATCTCGCTCTGCGACATCACTCGCCAAGGTGCTGCTCTGCGACAGCCAAGCAGATCGCACGGATCGCAAGACGATTAAGGAACGACTGAACAATCGGAACTCGGCGTATTTTCTGACGACTGTGCGACGATGGGATTACCATCTGAGAGTTTTGCCGCGCGACGAATCGCGGAACGAGAGAGAACGTCGCCTAGATCGCATGCGACCTCTGACGCAAAACGGCGCAAGGCCTCGACATGGTGTGACATCAGCGCTCGCGGAAAGAGGCATGAAGCTTCGAGCGCCCAGACTAGCCATAACCGAGCTTACTATCGTATCCTATTGGGAGAAAGTAATGCAGACATAACAAGAGAGCCAGAATCTTCACGACATGCGACTAGTGGGAGAAGTAGGGGCGATTTCGCAACATTGGTGATGACTGGGGAGTGATGAGTGTTTGGTGAAGCATCGAGGGCGTTGGGCGACAGGCTCGACTGCGATGGATGTTGCGAAAAACTTGTCGCAAATCACCTGTCGTCCCATTCCCCTTCCCCCCCAACACGCCTCCACAGCTGTTTTGCAGTTCATTTATCAATTTTGGAAAGGTTAATAACAAACTGCACCGCTTAATGCTGCACAACATCGTACCTAACCGTTAAGGATGTCACCTTTCAGAAGCAGCGGAATATCTGCTTGCGCCAGCCATTAGGTCAACCACCCGCCTCATCCATTCTTCATCGCCTTTGCGGCGCGTTGAGTCAGTAGTTTCTCCTTTTCCTTACCTAGTCCTTCGTTGCCCAGTGTCCGTTTATTTTAATCCTCTTCCTCGCCATGGCAGCTGCCGTCCCCTGACTCCTAATTTTCTCGTTTACCCTTCGTAACGTCGTAATAGGTATATTTTCTCGTTACCTGCCTTTCTGATCAATGCCTTCCATGGCGGTGATCCCGGGGCTTCTAGGAAACAGCCATGGAGCAGCGTGAACCCTAGTTCACGTAGAAAGAACTTCCCCTCGTTCCCTTGGGCGCACGCACTCGTCATTACACCCACGCCACCAGCTACTCAGCGTAACCGTTAATTCCGAACTGACTTCTTCCCTCCGTAAGGAGCTCACTAACCCTTTTTCAAACTCGCATTCCGCAATAACGAGGTCATGGACGACTGTGACTGTATCGGAGGGCAGTGGGCCACGGACGACCTGCTAGTCCGCTACCAGTACGTCTCCGACTTCTTCATAGCTCTCGCTTACTTCTCCATCCCGCTCGAATTAATATACTTCGTAAAAAAATCCGCGGTTTTCCCGTACCGATGGGTGCTGGTCCAATTCGGCGCGTTCATAGTTCTCTGCGGCACCACGCATCTCATCAACATGTGGACCTTTCGCGAACACACGCGAACCGTCGCCTTCGTGATGACCATCGCGAAAGTTCTCACCGCCGTCGTGTCGTGCGCGACGGCGCTCATGCTCGTGCACATCATTCCGGACCTTCTCTCCGTGAAGACCCGCGAGCTGTTTTTGAAGAATAAAGCCGCGGAGCTGGATCGCGAGATGGGGTTAATCCGCACGCAGGAGGAGACGGGGCGCCACGTGCGCATGCTGACTCACGAGATCCGGTCGTCTCTGGACCGGCCGACGATCCTCAACACGACGTTGGTGGAGCTGGGGCGCACGCTGCAGCTCGACGAATGCGCGCTCTGGATGCCCGCCAACCTCGCGGGTGAGCGCAGGGGGGGACATTGGGGCGATGTTAGGTGAGCTGGGCTGTGAGTGCGTGTGCGGTTCTGAGTGTGGGATGCCGTGCTCTGCCCGCTCGTGGAGCTGGGGCGCACAAGGTTTGAGTCGTCTCAAAGCTGGGCCGCACGCTGCAGCTCGACGAATGCGCGCTCTGGATGCCCGCCAACCTCGCGGGTGAGCGCACGGGGGCGATGGGGCGGGAGTTGGTGTTGGTGAGTGGGGCGAGAAGAGGGGTAGGGTATTTTGGGGGGTGAGAGCGTGGGAAGATTGGGCTGGAAACTGGAGTAGGCTAGCCTTGCGGGTCAGGTAACATGCGTAAAAATAACGGTTCAGGATTGGATGGGCGCGCATTGTCACATCATCGTCACCATCTATCGTTTCCTTCACTGTTCCCTCTATCCTTCCCCCACCACCCCTTCCTCTCCCATTATCCTCTCTTCCCACTCCTCCCACCATGTCTTGTCTCCCTCCCCCACCATCTGTCCCCCATTCCTCCTCCCGCAATCCCCTCCCCCTACTATTACCTACAACCCTCCCCTTCATCCCCTTACCACCCCCTTCCCCCATCCCCTCTCCGCAACCCCCCCCCCCCCCATCCCCCACCCCTTTGGCCAGGCGACACGACGAGAATGGCGCCCATCGGACCTGCAGCTAATCCACACGCTGCACTGCACCAGCCCAGGACCCATCCCATCCTCTACCCACTTCCTCCTCTTACCGTTCCCTTGGCCCCACCCCCACCCCCATCCCTCACTTCCTTCCCAGGCGATGACGACGAGGAGGACGGTGGCGGGTCCCCATCAGATCTGCAGCTCATTCACACGCTGCATCAGCCCAAGCCCCCGCCAGTCACCGTCACGCTCGCACACCCCACGGTCAAACAAGTCTTCAGCACCAGCCGGGCTGTCGTCATCTCGCCCAACTCCCCCGTCACGGCTATCCCGGGCGGCGGCGGCCGCGCGGGCGGCAACCGCTACGTGGCCGGCGACGTGGTCGCGGTGCGCATCCCACTGCTGCACGCCAACACGTTCACGGGCGGCGGGGCGGGCGGCGCGGGCGGCAACGACTGGCAGGACTCGCGGGAGAGGAGCTACGCTCTCCTCGTCCTCATGCTCCCAGCCGACAGCGCGCGGCGCTGGCACGTGCACGAGCTAGAAATGGTAGAAGTGGTAGCGGATCAAGTGGCGGTCGCACTCTCACACGCGGCGATCCTAGAAGAGTCAATGCACGCTCGGGATCTTCTCATGGAGCAGAACGTGGCTCTCGACCACGCGCGGGCTCAAGCCGAGAAAGCCATCCGCGCGCGAAACGATTTCCTGGCCGTTATGAACCACGAGATGCGCACACCCATGCACGCCATCATCGCTCTCTCCACGCTTCTCCAGGAGACTGAACTGACCCCGGAGCAGCGCAGCATGGTTGACACGGTGCTGAAATCCAGTAACCTGCTCGCGACACTCATTCACGACGTGCTGGACCTCTCCCACCTGGAAGACGGTAGCATGCTGCTCGACGTGCGCACCTTCAACCTCCACGGTACCTTCCGGGAGGTTGCCTCGCTGGTGAAACCGGTCGCCTCGGTTAAGAAACTCGGCGTGACGCTAAGGTTGCAGTCGGATGTGCCGGAGTTTGCGGCCGGGGATGAGAGGAGGTTGCTGCAGACGGCGCTGAACGTGGTGGGCAATGCCGTGAAGTTCACGCGGGATGGCAGCATCACCATTACTGTGTGCCTGGAGCGGCCGGAGTTTCAGCGCGACAAGAACTTTCCCAAGTTTGTGCCGGTGGTGGCGCTGGGGGATAAGCACTACTACATTCGTGTGCAGGTGAGCGTTGGTTCTGCTGCTGCTGCTGCTTCCGGTGCTGCTGCATGCTGCGGTGGTGGCGCTGGGAGACAAGCACTACTACTATATCCGCGTGCAGGTGAGCGGTTGGGTGGGGCTATTGCTCTTGCTGCTGCCGCAGGCAGGACAGTGCCTAGTTTGAGGCTGTGCCTAGTGATCACTTGCTGTGGTGGTGGCGCTGGGAGACAAGCACTACTACTATATCCGCGTGCTGGTGAGCGGTTGGGTGGGGCTATTGCTCTTGCTGCTGCCGCAGGCAGGACAGTGCCTAGTTTGAGGCTGTGCCTAGTGATCACTTGCTGTGGTGGTGGCGCTGGGAGACAAGCACTACTACTATATCCGCGTGCAGGTGAGCGGTTGGGTGGGGCTATTGCCCTTGCTGCTGCCACAGGCAGGACAGTGCCTAGTTTGAGGCTGTGCCTAGTGATCACTTGCTGTGGTGGTGGCGCTGGGAGACAAGCACTACTACTATATCCGCGTGCAGGTGAGCGGTTGGGTGGGGCTATTGCTCTTGCTGCTGCCGCAGGCAGGACAGTGCCTAGTTTGAGGCTGTGCCTAGTGATCACTTGCTGTGGTGGTGGCGCTGGGGGACAAGCACTACTATATCCGCGCGCAGGTGAGTGGCACCGGGTGGGGCTATTGCTCTTGCTGCTGCTTCCAGTGCCGCTGCTTGCTGCTGTGCTTGCGCTGGGGGACAAGCACTACTATATCCGCGTGCAGGTGAGCGGTGGGGCTTCTGGGTGACAAGTGTGTGTCGACTCTATAGTCACTTCGGCGGTGGCGCTGGGAGACAAGCACTACTATATCCGCGTGCAGGTGAGTGGTTGGTCTGTTGCTGCTTCTGCTGCTGCTTCTAGTGCTCAGCTCGTTCTGCTGCCTGACGACGCCTCCTCCTGTTGGCTGACTGATGAGCGGCCTGGATGAGTGTTTTCCCCCGCGCTATTCTCCCCCCTCTAACTCACCACGCCGTCCCCCGCCCCCCCCCGCCTTCTATCCGCAAGTGAAGGACGCGGGAGTGAGGCTGAGGCAGGAGGACCAGAGGAAGCTTGTTCGCTCACTTGTGGGTTACTTGAATCCTTGTTTTTCACCCTACCCCTCCTCCCCTCGCTTCTCCTCTCCTCTCATCGCCGAGAGCAGGTGAAGGACACAGGCGTGGGGCTGAGGGAGGAGGACCAGAGGAAGCTGTGATTGCTCACGTGTGTGGGAACTGGTATCCTTGTTTCTCTTCCTCTTCGTGACCCCTCTTCCTCGTCCGAGAGCAGGTGAAGGACACGGGAGTGGGGCTGAGGCAGGAGGACCAGAGGAAGCTGTTCAGCAAGTTCGTGCAGGCAGACGCCACCACCACGCGCAACTACGGCGGCACTGGTTTGGGACTCGCCATTTGCAAGCGGTGAGGGGGGGAAGACGTGGTAGAGGTGCCAGGGGGATAGTGGTGGGATGGGAAGAAGGGAGATGGGAGGGTAGAGGTGGCAAGGGCAGTGGCAAGTTCGTGCAAGCAGACGCCACCACCACTCGCAAGCACAGCGGCATGGGACTGGGCCTTCCCATCTGCAAGCGGTGAGAAGGGGGGTTAGGTGGTAGGGGGGTAGTGGCAGAGGGTAGTGGCAGAGGGTAGTGGCAGAGGGTAGTGGCAGAGGGTAGTGGCAATGCCCATTGCAGGAGGATGCCACCACCACTCGCAATCACGGCGGCATGGGACTGGGCCTTCCCATCTGCAAGCGGTGAGGGGTGGGGGGGGGAGGGGTAGGCGGGTAATGGTTGTGGGGTTGTGGGCAGGGAAGGGAGATAGGGGGATAGGTAAGCACGCTGCAGGCAGACGCCACCACCACTCGCAACTACGGGGGCGCGGGGCTGGGCTTGGCTATTTGCAAGCGGTGAGAAAGGGTGTGGTGAGGGGGGAGGGCACGGCGCTGGGCTTCACTATGTGATAAAGGTAACATTTTGAGACGTCTCAAAATGTTACTTTTATCAAAGGTGTGGAGAGGGGGGAGGGCGCGGGGCTGGGGTTCACTATTTACTAGCCTCGTATCCCCCCTGGCCGTTCCATAACCACCCATCCCTCTTTCTCCCTCCCCCCCCCCCACCACCTTCCCCCAGCTTCGTGAGCATGATGGGGGGCCACATCTGGGTGGAGGGAGAGGAGAGCGAGGGCCCGGGCAAGGGCTCTCATTTATACTCTCTTTCACCCAACCCCCATCCCTTCCCTCGTCCCCTCGTCCGTCTTTCAACGACAATCAGATTCGTGAGCATGATGGGGGGGCACATCTGGGTGGAGAGCGAGGGCCCGGGCAAGGGCACGACGGTGACGTTTGTGGTGCGCCTGGGGCTGCCAGAGAAGGCCGACGACCGCAACAAGGCGGGCAACGCGGGGCAGAAGCAGGCTGCGGGAGGGGCTGGTGGGGCCACCAAGGCTGTGGATTTCACTGGGCTCAAAGTGCTCGTGTGTGACGATAACCAGTGAGTGCAGCAATAGCCAGTGAGTGCGGGGGATAATTAGCAGTTTACCGGGGATGATAAGCAGTGAGTGCATCGGAGCAGGGAGGGTATAGGGCATGACAAGTGGTAGCTTGCACTGGTGCTTCCTCTCTGCTCTATCAGTGTATTCTCTCAGTACACTCTTTGTCCTGCCGCCCGCCTACCTGTGCCTGCCTTTTCATTGAAGGTGAATATTCTCCCCCATGCTTATCTTCCCTCCCATCCACTCTTCACTTCCCCCCATCTCCTTCCAGTGTGAACCACATGGTGACCAAGGACATAGTCACGCGCCAGAGCTGCAAGGTCACCGTGGTGGGGTCGCTTGGTGCTGGCATGCCATGCATTTCCCCTTTTCCTCTTTCCTGCTGGCATGCCACGCATTTCCCCTTTTCCTCTTTCCTGCTGGCATGCCAGCCGGGGCACCTTGGTGACCATTTCCCCCTTCCCTCTCGTCTGCCTTCCACTTCCTCCTCCCCTCCACCCATCTCCCCCCACTGTGAACCGCATGGTGACTCACCTGGGCTGCAAGGTCACCGTGGTGGGGTCGATCGGTCCGTGCTTGCATGCTAGTACTAATGCATTCCCCCCTTCCGTCTTGCCTATCTTTCCCCCCTTCCCACTTCCCTCTCTCCCCCACCCAGTGTGAACCGCATGGTCACGAAGCGCATGGTCACACGTCTGGGCTGCGAGGTCACCGTGGTGGGGTGCATGCTCGCATGCTGGTATTAACGCATTCCCCCCGTCCCTTTTCCCTGCCTCCCACTGCCTCCTCACCTCCCGTCCCCTCCCTCCCTCTCTCACCCCCCAGTGTGAACCGCATGGTGACCAAGCGCATGGTCACACGTCTGGGATGCGAGGTCACTGTGGTGGGGTCGGGCCGCGAGTGCCTTGCGGCTCTTGCCGGCCCGGGCCATGGCTTTAAGGTGAGCTGGCAGGGGTTAGGGGAGGGTGAGAGCGAGTGAGGGGTGCAGCGATTGGTGTGACCTAGGGGCCCAGGGGAGGGTGAGAGCGAGTGAGGGGTGCAGCGATTGGTGTGACCTAGGGGCCCAGGGGAGGGTGAGAGCGAGGAGCGCAGAGGGGCTGTGCTGTGCGGTGCATGCGAGAGGGGCGTTTGAGGCGGGAGGGGAGCCATGCGAGGGCCTCGTTTCTCTTGCTCGGGCAGGCCTGAGCAGGAGATGACTTTTGAGACGTCTCAAAAGCTCTCTTGTTCGGGCAGGCCTGAGCAGGAGATGACTTTTGAGACGTCTCAAAAGCTCTCTTGTTCGGGCAGGCCTGAGCAGGAGATGACTTTTGAGACGTCTCAAAAGCTCTCTTGTTCGGGCAGGCCTGAGCAGGAGATGACTTTTGAGACGTCTCAAAAGCTCTCTTGTTCGGGCAGGCCTGAGCAGGAGATGACTTTTGAGACGTCTCAAAAGCTCTCTTGTTCGGGCAGGCCTGAGCAGGAGATGACTTTTGAGACGTCTCAAAAGCTCTCTTGTTCGGGCAGGCCTGAGCAGGAGATGAGGTTAGGGACGTGTTGCCCAGCTGTGCTGCTCCCTCCGACTCCCTACCCTCTCCTCCGTTCTCCTTCATATCCCCTCATATCCCTTCCTTGTTAGCTCGTTGCTGTGGTTGTCTATTTGCAAGCATCATCGCTTCTCTCCCACACACCCCCACTTCCCCCACAACCCCCACCCACGCCACCTCTCGTCCCACCTACAGGTGCTGCTGCAGGATTTGATGATCCCTTACATGAACAGCTACGAGGTGGCCAAGCGGGCGATCGACCACAAGTGAACGACATGCACCGTCTAAGCTGTCATCTCTTTGCAAACACCACCCTTTCCCTCTCAACCCCCTACCCTTCCCCCCACTCACACCAACAGGTGCTGCTGCAGGATCTCATGATGCCAGATATGGACGGCTATGAGGTGGCCAAGCGGGTCATCGACCGCATCAAGAACCTCCTTTGCACCATCTCTGTGGTTATCCCTTTGCAAACACCACCCTTTTCCTTTGAACCCCGTCGCTCCCCCCCTTTCCCCCTACCAACAGGTGCTACTCCAGGATCTGATGATGCCAGACATGGATGGTTACAAGGTGGCCAAGCGAGTCATCGACCGCATCAAGAACCCTGACGAGCGGCCGCGCATAGCAGCGCTGACAGCCAACACGGACCAGGCCACCAAGGACCGCTGCCTCAGCATCCGCACCCAGGAGCCCGATGCCTCCGACTGCCAGCACCGTCTCACTGCTGTTCTCTCCTTGCAAACACCACCCTTTCCCTCCCCAACTCCCCTCCCCCTGTACCCCTTCCTCCCCACCAACAGGTGCTACTCCAGGATCTGATGATGCCAGATATGGATGGTTACGAGGTGGCGAAGCGAGTCATCGACCGGATCAAGAACCCCGACGAGCGGCCGCGCATAGCAGCGCTGACAGCCAACACGGACCAGGCCACCAAGGACCGCTGCCTCAGCATCGGCATGGACGGGGTGATCACCAAGCCCATCTCGCTGGAGAAGATGCGCATTGTCTTCACGGAGCTCATGACCCTCGGGAAGATCGTGTCCGATCCCAAGGCCTAAGATCATGTGTGCAGTGCGGTTCGGGGGTTTGCAGTGCGGTGAGGAGGTGTGCGGGTAGTGGGCATGGACGGGGTGATCACCAAGCCCATCTCGCTCGAGAAGATGCGCATTGTCTTCACGGAGCTCATGACCCTCGGGAAGATCGTGTCCGATCCCAAGGCTTAGGATCCTGTGTGCAGGGTTGTGCAATGCGGTTCAGAGGTGTGCCGTTAGGTGCCTTCTTCTCCTGAAGAAGGCATGGGGGAGATGGCAGAGAAAGGAAACCTGCTTCTTGGCATTGGCATGGTGGGGTTGCCAGTTGTCATGGAAAAGCCAACATTTTTTAATGGATAAGGGGGATATGTTTCTTCAAATTGGAGGGGGGTTAGTTTGTCTGCATATAGATTGTTTGGAGGAGATAGCGGTGAAGTGAGCTGTGGTCTGCACACTGAATTTCTGTCTGGGCATCTCTTTGAATAATAGCATGTGTTCTCATGTACTGTATGTACTACGAGTCAGATTCTTAGAAGCTGAAGTCATTGAAGCAGAGGTACAGATGTGATGTGAGCCAGGCTGGTTCCCATCCCATGACCATCCCCACCATCAGGGGAGACAAGCAACAAGGTAGCAAAACTGGCTGAAGTCCCAACAAGGTAACTTCACAGACCAATGTGCATTCAAGCCACTAATTGGCAGTAAGGTAATTTTATATCCACTTTATTGAACTGGGAAAAGCAGTAGCTGTTTCTACAGGTGATTCAAGTCTATGGGATGAAGCCCTTTACATTTCTATCTGGCCACCAGGAGCATCAGCCCTGCAAGAAAGGTAAGCCAAGGGACAAAGGCACACACAAGCGGAAGGGTTGATTCGACAAGTAGGTAAGCCAAGGGACGAAGGCACAGGCATGCAGACCTCTGACTCTCGTGCACACAACGCCATGCAAAATGGCCACCGCCTGCCCACTCGTATTGCATCCTCTCTTTAGTCTGCTTTCTGTCTACTGGATTCCGCAATCTGACCACGCATTTCTGCGTTTAGGCACCTGCTTCTGCTTTGTGCCCTCTCTATCTGCCATCTAACCACTCGATTCTGTAATCCGTCGATCCGGTTACCCGCTAGAGCTTCACCTTCAAATACTAGTCACACATACCCAAAGCGCCAGCCACGTGGCGTAATGAGCGTTGGGGAGCAAAACGGCCAACGGTGTCATGCAGAATGGCCAGTGGTGCCTACGTCACGTCCACAGTGTCCCGTACTCAGGGCGAGACAATACGAATGTACTGCTGACAGCGTTAGCCTTATTCGACATGGAAGTTACGTATGTACCCTCCTCTGCCACTCATTCCGATTGACGCGTTTCTAACACGGATTTACAGGACGTACCCGCTGTAGCCGAATTTGGCGCGGTGGATGTTGCGCTGTCGGATCCAGCAGATGCAGACGCACATGAGGCAGAACGCCATGCCGAATGTCACGCCTGGAAAAGGTCAACGGGAGCACGCAGCGCGGGAGTCGATCAACAATAATCTCCATCATCCTTTATCGTCTCAAGCCACCCTCTCGTACTCTCTATTCTTCACTGTCCCTCCACTTTCTTCCCTTAATTTCCTCAGGGAAAGCTTTACGTCGCGCACGACCGGGGTGACGATTGTATGCCATTGCGAAGTTGGCACTTTGGATAACAAGGTTCACAACGAACGATGTACTTTTTGGTTGGATGAGGATCTTATAATGACGTAACGAGCAGCGATGGCTGCTGTGAAGATAACTGGCTGATAGCCAGGCGACTGGCGTGGTGGCGATGTGAAGGGTCATAGTCAAACGAGTTCGAGGGCGCGCAACAGGCTATAATCACTCACCGAGTGCATACTGATTTTTGCGTCACACTCGAACGCGGCTTGCAACAGGCTGTGAGGACTCACCGAGAACAATGCCGATGATGCCTTCGGGACCAATCCCGTCGCTCTTCATCTTGTCGTACGTCCCTTGGAAATCGTACTTGGAGTACGCGTCCCCCTCCACAGTTCCCGCCTCTTCTTGGCCCGGCAGTTCTGACGGCTCGGTAGCATCGCCGCCGATAACGGTGCCGGCCGGCATGTTCTCCATGTCCTGCGCGATCTGCTCGTCCGTCTTAGGCGGCTCGTCCGCTGGCGGCACATCGACCGGCGCTTCGTCAACCGGCGGCTGGTCGGCGGGAATGTCTTCAGGTGGAATGTCCTGGTTGAATGGGTCTTGCGGCACGCCTTGGTCGCCGTCTGCGGGAACGTTTGCTGGGTAGTCCGTATTCTCGCCTGCGAAACCCGCGTTTTGCGGCTCCGGTGGGTAGTCCTCATTCACCGTTGGATCTTGCGCGTGGCATTGTGTGGACGACAGAACTAGGCAGACCAGGGACAGCAGGATAGCCAACCGAGCGAATCTCGCCATCTTGAGTTCTGAATCACCGTCGTATTGCCTCAACTCAAACCGTTACCTGTCTGCAAAGCTAGAAGCAGTAGTTGAGACTTGATAACTGAATCTAAGCAGCTGAACTGAGAAACCAAATGCTTGACTGAAGAAAAGCCTGTGTGCTGCTGATGACCATAAATACACTCTTCACTCACATTGTGGTATTCCCTGAGCTGACTCAACAGCGAAACCAAACCTGGAAATTGAGGGGGCCAAGCTTGAGGCAAGATGTTGCACTACCTAGGCGCTAGGTATGGGCCTCAATATTCGCCAAGCTGGAAGTGGTTCGTGCGAGCCTTGGGTTCATCACGTCATAACCGCTCGCGCCCAGCCTCAAGGCGCGGTGCCTGCTGGGTTCGGCTGGGTCACATCTTCCGTTTGCGTCGCTAGAGCGTCGCGCACAGCTATCATACGCTTGGGATTGCCTCGTCAATCTGCCCTGTCGTCGACATCCGCAAAAGCGATGGATTCGGACTACAAGGCACGTCCCAGCGAGAAGCGTAGGTTCGGAGATATGCGGAGATATGTTACCACTTCCATTCATCAGGCTGTAAATCTTCACTTTTGCAGAGCGACTGGGAGCGGGTGCTTGTGGCGAGAGTCTGGGGCAAGCTGGCCCGTCTTGAGCGACCACTCCCAGGCCAATCACCTGAGAGACGGAATCGCTCAAATCCAACAACCCCAACCATATGACTCTGCGTGCAGGCTCCCGCATAACCTGGGGAAGTCTTCCACCTGCGACGCGGTAACAAATCATCCTCGATACCGACTCAGCATGCGATAGTTTTCTTGAAGGGTTCGAGTGTAACACAACCATTAGGCAGGTACTGAGGTTTTGGTGTAAACAGGCACAATTGTTCTGTCCTTGAGAGGTAACCGTTCTCGCGCCATCTCGGACATCCCCGTGCGTTTCGTATGGTGCGGTGCTTCCCATCCAAATGAATCAAAACTTCGAGCCGCGTGAACGCACGGATCGCATATCATCGAAAAAAATGCCCAACATTTCAACATTTCGGCACACCACAACACACGTCCTTGACTACTCCAACAAGGCAAAGTCAACCACTCATCGCATTTCACAGATCTGGCTTCCTCATGATGATCTCATCTCTCCATTCCATTCATCAGTAGGTGCTGCTCTGTCAAGGTCACGTGCACTTCTGTGCACCCCACACTTCCGCGCCTCAATCTCTGCAATACGTTTCCTTTTTAAACGTGTCGTTTCCCATGGAGCGCGTAGTGCCTGGCTCCCCTTAGATGGAAAGCAAGGCGCCACGAGTGGGCAACATTGTCAAGCAAGGCGCAGACGGTAGAGTAGCCGGCAAAGGAGGAAACAGACACTGGAATGCAGTGGACTACTGAAGGAGACAGAGAAATAGACACACAGAGAGACCTTGCTACAAGCATTCACTGACCGCATCATGGACGGCCAAGATCCTGGCCCGCGGAACTACTGCACTTCCTCCAATCGTATCTCAAAGCAGCGATCCTTTTCCCCGGCCTTCCGCCTCGTCCTCCTCTTCCCCCTCCTCCTAACGCTTCTGGGACCGCCCGTTCTACCACACGCCCATGCCGCCCTTCACACGGACCTGCCAAAGTACAGGATCTCAAGTCCTCTCACCAACGGATCACTGTTGCCGCCACGTGGACAGCATTGGCCATGGAGATTGGAATCGACGGAGGGGAATTACGGAGGCGAGGTGGCAGTTGAGGAACGGGGAACTGACCCGAGCCTCTACCGCGTCTCTCTCTCGTTCTCTCGCGACCTTTTGCAGAGGGGTGAGAAAATTACTCGCGACGCCGGTAGGAATAGTGGGGCTAGTACTCGACAGGCGACAGGTAAAGCGAGGGCGAATGCGACAGCTGCGCAAGCAGCGAAGAAAACACCGACAAAAAAGACTTCGAGCAAAGAAGCAGAAAGGGGGGAGCAGGGCAGGAGTAAAGGAGGTTCGGCATCAGCGGCGCAGACAGGAGACAGCAAGGGGAGTGCAGCGGCAGGGAAGCAAGGAAAAGACGCGGTGGTTTCTCTTCTCGTGCCGGCTCGTAATACGACCAAGCCCGCCGCTACTAGCCGTAATGCAAGTTCCAATTCAAGTTCTAGAATGCCCGTCCCGAGTAGTAGTAATTCGACCAAGCCTTCTGACAAGCTGCCCGTGAAGAATGGCAGCCGCGGGAAGTTTCCCTCTGCGTCACCGAAGGTTCCGGTCGGTGGCAAGTCAAACGCGTCCGCGGCAAGTCCGTCGGGCGGCAAGAGGTGGAGCAAGGGAGCGCCGTCCGCGGGAACGAAGCCGCCGGCGCAAGGCGGAACACCCGCGCAGGGCGATCCAGGCTCGCAGGCGAAAGGACCTGGAGGAGCCACGTCAGCGTCGCGACACAAAGCCGCCAAATCCCCCTCGGCTACTAAAAACCCGTCGCAGACGAAACAGCCGTCTACCAAGCAGCCGCCTGCCAAGCAGCCGTCTACCAAGCAGCCGTCTGCCAAGCAGCCGTCTGCCAAGCAGCCGTCTGCCAAGCAGCCGTCTACCAAACCACCACCCCGGACCAAACCACCTCTAAATACAAAGCAACCCCCGCAGACCAAACCCGCTCCTGGGTCTAAGACTACCAAGCCTCCTTCCCATACCGCGCTGCCCACCCAACCCAAGCCTTCCACCATTCCCAAACCTCCGATACAGACCAAACCTCCTAACCAATCTAACCCAGCCAATCAGACGAAGCCGCCGGCGCATACCAAACCTCCTGCTGAAGCAAAGCCTCCGAGCCAAGGCAAGCCGTCAGGCACTCCACCAATCAGACCCAAGGTTCAGCTGTTCCACGTGGCAGGCAATAATACGTTCTGTCTGGATGGAAGGTACGACTCGACAGGCTGTGCTCACGTGGCATTCATATGGCTTCACACAGCATCAAAACCTGAATGCATTATGTGCGTGCGTGTCCATTTCGTTTCGTGCGTGGGAGTGTGTGTTGCGGATGGTGTGCGTGGATGTGTGTGCGCGTGCGTGTGTGTGTGTGTGTGTGTGCATGTGTGCGTGTGGTGTGTGTGAGCAGCCCGCCAGCCTATTACTTCCGCCAGGGCTATGGCAATGGCTCCAACTCATGGCTCGTCTACCTGCATGTGAGTTGTACAATCTATCATGTGGCAGGGACTGGGTACGGGAACCAATTACATGTGGGACGCCTTACCTGCTCCTGCTTCCAACCATCTGAATGTCACTGTTTCTCCGCTCCCCATCTTCCGCTTCTCGTCTCCCCCTTCCCATCTCCCGCTTCTCATCTCCCCCTTCCCATCTCCCGCTTCTCATCTCCCCCTTCCCATCTCCCGCTTCTCATCTCCCCCTCCTCAATCCCTCCCATGTCAGGGCGGGGGGTGGTGCCTCAACATCAACGACTGTGCCTCGTGTCTCATCTTCCCATTCCTGTGTCTCATCTTCCCATTCCTGTGTCTCATCTTCCCATTCCTGTGTCTCATCTTCCCATTCCTGTGTCTCATCTTCCCATTCCTGTGTCTCATCTTCCCATTCCTGTGTCTCATCTTCCCATTCCTGTGTCTCATCTTCCCATTCCTGTGTCTCATCTCCCCATTCCTGTGTCTCATCTCCCCCTCCTCGTCTCCCCCAACCCATCGCCCTCTCCCCCTCTCCTTGCCAGGGCGGCGGGTGGTACCTCAACTTCAACGACTGTGCCTCATCTCCCCATTCCTGTGTCTCATCTCCCTCTTCCCATCTCCCGCTTCTCATCTCCCCCTTCCCATCTCCCGCTTCTCATCTCCCCCTTCCAATCTCCCGCTTCTCATCTCCCCCTCCTCAATCCCTCCCATGTCAGGGCGGGGGGTGGTGCCTCAACTTCAACGACTGTGCCTTGCGAGCCGACTCCTACCGTGGCTCCTCCCGCTACTGGCCCTCGCCCTCCTCGCCCTCCAACCTCACCCGCCTCGTATGACCATGCCTTCCCACATGCCCATGTGCTTCTCTGCTCTTCCCATGTGCCAATGTGCCCGCATGCTCACATGCCTAAATGCAGACATGCTCTCATTCTACTGCTCATTCTCCCTGCTTCCTTCTCATGCCCCATTTCTCACGCCCCATCCCACGTTCCCACTCGCACTCTCACCTACTCACCTCCTGTTCTAACCTTCCATCTCCCCACTCTCCGTTCTCCTTCATGCCACGTCAGATGGCTGGTTACCGCATGAGCTTCACGGGCATACTCAGTGGCAACGCAGCTGACAACCCCTTCTTCCACAACTGGAACATGGCAGTCATCATGTACTGTGACGGAGGCGCTTATATGGGGTACAAGGGGCGCATGCAGCAGGGCTCTAAACGAGTCTTCCTCTCAGGCCACCACATTCTCAAGAACACTCTGATTGACCTGCAGCAGCAGAGGGGCATGGGGGCGGCAGCATCAGCTCTCATTGCCGGGTGTTCGGCGGGAGGGCAGGCTGTTGCAGTGGGGTGTGACTGGATGGCCTCGTTTCTGCCACGCTCTGCTAAAGTCAAGTGTGCCACTGATGCTTCTTTCTTCCTCGGTACGGCCAACTTGTGGACCTGCTGGCATGAGGTCTCCTCTCGTCACCTATTCTCCTTCAAAGCATCTCCATCCATCTTCCCTTCTGTAACCTTCTCGCCATCTCCTTCTGTTATCACTCGTCAACCTCTCATCCGTCACCTGCCACTCATCCATCCGCCCGTTCAGATGAGGCCGACATCGCGGGGCAGTTCACCTTCAGATCCTACATGCAGCGCATGATCGCATCCCATTGGTCCGATCGATCTCTCAACACTGACTGCCTCAAAGGTACACCGAATGAACCCGATTGTGTAATCGTATTCTCTCTGCTATTCACATTTCCCCTCACAGGGTTTTTATTCCATTATACACATCAAGTTAAATCATACAAGTGCATCCATAATTCCTCTAACCCCCTATTCCAGCCAATACAGGGAATGGGACGTGGAGGTGCATCATGCCCCGTACCGCATTGGAGTATGCTAAAACCCCTACACTTGTTGTCAACAGCGTGTTTGATTTGACAGCACTGTACATGTCCCTGGCACGTGGCAAAATCCCCGGGGGTGCTCTCACACAATCAGCAACAACATGCCTCAGCTCAAACGATTTTTCTTCCTGCCCTGCAAGCGTTCTGAAGTTCATCACACTTCATGGAAGACTGTTTCGGAGATCAATATCGTCCCTTCTACAAGTCAAGGCGGCTGCAAATATCCCGTTTCGTTCCTGGATATCAAACGGAACAAGCCATTGTGCATTGGCATATTCAAATTGGTCGGCAGCAAACTCAAATGGCTTGGTGCTAAGAGATGCAGTGGCCAGGTGGTTTGCTGAAAACTAGGTCAGTTCTCAATTTTGTATACTAGCATCTTCGGAGAGAAGCTATATATGTCTATATATGATTAACTTAGTTCGTATGTAGTCGATTTACCATTCGAACTGAACTGTAGACCTTCTAGATTGTATTTTCTCAGCCACAAACCCATGAGACTTGACTTTCCGAAATGTTTCAATCGGTGCCGTCGAGGCCAATATCGAACGGCGGAAAGCTGGTCTTGGCTCGGAAGTCCGCTCGCCACGGCGGCGGGCCCGCCGAGGCAATGGGCGCTTCACGCGGCACTTGGTGCGTGCATCATTCCCCGCCACACCACAATCCAGCGTGTCGCGCAACTAGGTCCTTGAGAATTCCCCACAGCTCCGCATTTGCCCCTGCTCATCGCAAATTCTTCTTCATTTTTGCTCTGTTGCACAGCAAAACTTCTAGTCCCCCCCTGTAGTTCCGCCAGTCATTCTTCCGCCACATCGTTTGTTCCCCTTCCAGCGAATCCACGTACAGCTGCTGCAAACGTAATTCCCCCTCTCCCCATCGCAACTCGACAACGTCTTGGCTCACTTGCTCCCCCCTCCCTCCATGTCCCGCCCCCCCATTTCCTTCGTCTCCGCTCCCCTTTCCGTCAACCCCGCCGAATGCTGCGGGACTTGCGCATGGGGAACTCACAGGAAACCCGCATCACAAGGCTGATGGTGCTTTTGAGGCACCCCGAGGGAACTTTAGGCCTAGGGTAGTTCAGTCAAGCCTAGTACTCCGTGCCGTCCTCTTCGTTAGTGAGGTCGGCTGCTTCCGTAATCTCCCTCACTTGCTTCGCGTCGCACGTCTAAAACTCGGAGCATCCCTTATTTTTTGCGAGTCCAGCCGAATTTCTGTACTACGAAACGTTCGACGCTTGTACCTGTTTTTCTCACGGCTCGTCAGCTTTTGTTTCGGACGATTCAGCGGGGTCTAGGAACAAGCATTGTTTCGCAAATAACATTTGTAGGCAGAGTTTGTCGATCTTCCAGAAGTCAAGTCACAGAGGATCTTTTGTCCTGCTCTGCATATCGCTGGTCTGAACAACATCGGTGTTAAACTTCAGTAGCGGACTAACTTAGCCTTCGACAGCCGTTTCCTAGTCTACTGGAATTTCGCATCGTACGCCGTTTCAGAGATCTCGAAACCGATGGACTCCACGCGCGACGACGTGCACACACCCAGCAAGCGGCACAAAGGCTACAACGGCTTCCCTACTCCCACAGACGGCCACGAGCAGCAGCCGCCGCAATCATCGCCGTCTCCTTCCCCTGGTCAAGCCCAGGCGCAGTATTCCGCGCAACAAGCGTACGCCTCTCCGCAGCAAGCGTACGGCGCACCCCAGCAATACACCTCCCCGCAGCAACCGTACGCGTCCCCTCATCAACCATTCAACACGCAGGTCACCGCGTCGCATGCAGTCGGTCCGGCTTCCGGAATTCACGGGATCGGTGGTTCGCCCTTGACTACCGCCATGGCTCCCCCCAACGCTCCGTCAGTCGCGCTGGAGCTAACGCATGGCGGTTCCCAACCTGTCTCCGCTGCCTCTACCCCTGTCCGCGCGCATTTTGTCGACGCGTCTCAGTCTACCCCTGTCCGCGCGCACCAACCGCACTCCCCCTCCCCCATCTCCGCTGCTGCGCACACGTCTGCGGTCACGGTTGTGCAGGCATCTCCGCTTACTGTTGCGCCCAGTCCCTCTCCATCTCCCGCTATGGGAACTCCTGGAGCCGTCGCAGCGTCGCCAGGCGGAGTAGGTGCGTCGCCGGGTGGAGTAGCGCCGTCGCCAGGAGGAGTCGCAGCGTCGCCAGGGGTCGCAGGGTCAATGCACGACCCGCCGTGCGCGGCGTGCAAGTCGCTGCGGCGGAAGTGCACGCGCGAGTGCATCTTCCTGCCTTACTTCCCCCGCGACGATCCTGAGAAGTTTGCGCGCGTGCACAAGGTGTTTGGAGCCAGTAACGTGTCTAAGATGCTGCAGGTGAGGCCAAGTACACGCCTTCACCCTCTTCCCTACTCCCCTGCCCTGCTCGCTTGTAAATTCACCTATCCTCTGAACTCCCTTACCCTGCTGTTGGGTTCTCTGCTCTTTGAAGCCCCTTTGTCTCTTTCAACGCCCCTCATTCTATCAACGTAACTGACTCGCGGTTTCCCATTGCTCTTTCCTCCCTTGCGTTCATGTCTTGTGGCTGTGACTGCACCATGCATCAGGAGCTGCCCCTACACCAGAGGGAGGATGCAGTGGCGAGTCTAGAGTATGAGGCACAGGCCCGGGTGCAGGATCCAGTCTATGGCTGCGTTGGCATTCTCTGCGTGCTCCAGGTACAGTAGTGATGGTGCTGGTTGGTGTTTAACGCAATTCTTGCATTGCATGTTTGCATGTCTAATTGTTGCATGAGTTGACATTCCTTTTGTCGACTGTTGTAACGTGCAGAGGCAAGTGGTTGCTCTGAGGGAGCAATTGGCAGCAGCCCAGTCACAGGCACAGATGCAGTTAGGGAATGGTGGTGGTGTTGATGTCAATGGTCAGGTGGAAGTCCCACAACAACCATCCCCAGCAGCAAATTTAGCCACAGGAGGAGCTTCTTAATCTGTGATAGCCATCTTGTCGAATGGCTGCAGCAGTGATTGATGTATTAGTAGACGTGTTTTGCTAATCAAAGTGTTATGGTTTGAGATTTTGAAATAGTGGTGGGGAGTTGGAACCTGAAACTGAAGTTAAGCGAAATCTACGAAATGTCATTGATGAAGTAGTGTAACACGGAATGGACTGTAGCATCTCTCACGAATCAACCGTTAGCCGTTTCCTCCCACCGCTCGGCCCCCTTTCGCGCGGTGCAGCTGGCCTGCGCTCCGCATGCGGACGAAGGATTTGTTGGAAACGTGGCAGCGCCGCGTTGGCGGACCTCTAGACTTGCGCCCTCCTCCCCCTTACCATTTTTGCGCCCACTTGTGCCTGGCAGTGGCACGGAAACACCCAGCTGTGGATGGTTTGACCATGTAGGACCTGTGAAAGGGCATTCCCAAGGCGCGCTCCTTTCAACCCAAGAGTATCTAGCCTATCTACAGCGAACCGATACCAACCACGCAAACAAAGCACCCACGGATATTCCCAAGGGGCACGATTCCTTTCATGCCACAAACATCTGGATTGCATTCCCAAGAACAAGACACTCCTCCAGGCACCAGTCCTAGTTTCTTGTGTTACGTTACGTCTTACAGCCTAGGCAGAAGCAAGCTACGACAGCATCAACCTATCAGTTCGGGAAACTGCTCGAGCGTTGGCAAATATTTATGTGAAGATTGGTTTGTACACGTCCACCGTCGGTTCTTTTGTTTTACTCAATCTGCATCTCAGGTCAAAGCCTCAGGATTAAGTAAAAACTCAATTATAATTCGCGGCTCAGGCTCGAGGCAAGATGGGGGTCCTTTCGCGGCGAGTAGTGCCGCTGTGCGCGGACGTCTTCTGCTTTCCCTGTCCGCAGATGCGCTCGCGCTCTCGCAAACCCATGAAGCGCTACAAGCAGTACCTCGCCGCGATATTCTCAGCGTCAGATGTACGTCTTAGACCCCACTGGTAGTTGTTTAAGCAATGACCAACCTCCAATGCTTGAGAAGTGATAGTTTCGTCTTTCAACCTGAACTTCTCGCTGGGTTATAGTTCGCCTGTTCGCGTCTCATCCTGCATTCCGCTTCCACCTCCGCGCGTCTCCCGTCTGTTCTGTTTGACTTCGTGCCAGAAAGGAAACGTTGACGAGAAGCAGATAGGAAAGCTCGCGGATTACGCGGCGGGAAACCCGGACCGCATTCCGAAGATCGTGGCGAAGCTGGAGGAGCGCGCCATCCGCGAGCTGCGCGCCGAGCGGTTCAACTCGCTACCTGCCGTCGCTCGCTCGTACTCGAAACTGCTCTCCTCGTGTCAAAGCTCTCTGTGAGTGCATATTCACTTACCAGCTTTGTGCATCGAATGACACCCCCTGGCCTTCTGCCATAACTCCCCCCATCCCCGGCCCGGAGCAAACAACCGCACGTCATTCGCATCCGCGCATTGATTTGCTACGCTTCCTCACCGCCTCCCCACTTTCTCCTCCCCCCTGCCTCTGAACTTCTCCCCTGTCGTCCCTCTTCTGCTGTCGGCAGTGCACTTCTGGCGTGGAGCGTGCTGAGCGTGGTGCAGAAGCTGCTGCAGGGCAAGCGGGTGGACGTGCGCGTGCTGGTTGCCTTTTGAGTCGACTCACCAAGTCTACTTCCCCCCTGTCGCCCCTCTTCTGTTCTCCCAGTGCGCTGCTGGCGTGGAGCGTGCTGAGCGTGGTGCAGAAGCTGCTGCAGAGCAAGCGGGTGGACGTGCGCGTGCTGGGCTGCGACCTGCTCGCGGATTTCGTGGACTGCCAGTCGGACGCCGCCTACGCCGCGCCCATTCAGAAGCTGTGCCCCACGCTCGTCGCCATGGCGCACGAGGCCGGCTCGCAGGAAGACTCCCGGGCCGCCAGGTCGTCCGCGTTAAGAGCTATCGCCGCTGTGGTTAGTACACTACACTGTGGACAAGTACACGTATGAGCTGCATGGCGTTCCTCCTGCGATTCACCTCGTATCATGCTCCGCATGCCATATGCTTGTTAAGGCATGCAACGAGTCATAGTCTATGCATTGCCTCACCCGATGTCTTGCTGCCTGCCCGCCCCACCCCCCTCCCTCCCTCCTCCTCCCCTCGACCAATGCAGATCCTCTTCGTCTCCTACTTCTCCCAGCCCTGCGACTGCCTTGACCAGGTAACCTCCCTCCGCCCTCCCTTCCCTTCCCTATCTGTGTCTGTGACTCTTTTCCCTTCCCTATCTGTGTCTGTGTCTCGTTTCTCTCCTCAGTCTTGTCTGTGTCTGTGACTCTTTTCCCTTCCCTATCTGTGTCTGTGTTCCCCTTTTCTTATCGTCCCCTTCTCTGAGTCCTGTGCCTTGACCAGGTTCCCTTCCACCCACCTTCCCTTCAACCCCACCCCCCTCTCGTCCCCCAAAATTCCCTCCCCACCCTCCTGTTTACCGCTTCGCCCTTATCCCCTCCTCAGTTGCTCGCGGCCGTGCTGGACAACTACAAGCCGCACGCGGCAGGTGCAGGGGACGAGGGGGCAGCAGCAGCGGATAAGGTGCGGGAGAGGACGCTCGAGGCGCTCAAGAAGCTGACTCTTCAGCAGCAGCAACAACAGCAAGGGGGTGGTGGCAAGGAGAAAGAGGGGCTGCATCAGGAGAGGAAGCTGGTCACTCCACTGCCCTCCAAGTCAGTACTTTGCCTTCATTTCTAGTGCTCCTCGCCTTCTTTCTATCTAGATGCCCTCCTCTCTCACGCACACCCTTTCATTCTGAGCTTCTCGCCCACATAATAAAAAAACTCCCATTCCTCCATTGCCCCCGCTCCCTTCTCCCACCTCCCAGGCAGGAGCTACAGCACCCAGAAGTGGCAGCGCTGGTGGCGGTATGGGCCCTCGCGCACATGTTTGCAGCCGCGGTGTCTCTCTCGTCACAGCAGGTGCTGGCGCATCTGCTGCTCTACCTCTCCAACGGCTCCCACTGGGCCGCGCCTGCTAGCCAAGGCGACGCAGCAGCAGCGGGGGCAGGGGCGGAGGCGGGGGCGACAGGCAGGGGAGGGGTTGCAGGGCAGCTGCTAGAGGATATTTGTCTGGCCCTCCGTTTCCTGGGTGAGTGCTCGCTTTCCTAGCAGTTACTCACCATGCAGTCTCTTCACCCCCTCCGCCGAGCTTCCACTTCCGCTGCCCCCTTAACCTTCTTCAACTCTTCTCTCTGTCTCCCTCCCTGTCCCCCGTTCCCCTCATCCCAGCCACCCGCTCCCCTTCACCAACCAAGGAGGAGCGGCGGCTCCTACTGGCACTGCTAGCAGCTGTGATCCGCCACACAGACTCTTCCCCCGCCCTGCGCTCGCCCCGCATGCGCCACGACGCCCTTGCTGCGGGGGGGGGGCTGCAGCTGGCGCAGCTGCTGCTGGCGGACGGGGGGAAGTGGGCGGACGGGGGGAAGGAAACCGGGGGAGAGAGCGCAGCGGGAGGACCCGGAATCGGGGAGGAGAAGCGGGAGATTAGCGCAGGGGGAGCGGGAGGGGCGGTGAGCATGAGAGGAGGACCGGAGGCAGCGAGTGAGGTGCAGGCTGTGGGTGACTTATTGCGGATACTGAGGCGTAGTATAGTTGAGGAGAAGCAGGGGGGCGGCATGGATGATAATATCATAGGGGAGGGGCAGGTGGGCGGCGGTGTGTCGTTCAGAAAAAGACAAGGCGAGCAGCCTGCTCTGCAGGAGCAGGCGCTGAAGCTGCTGGTGCTGGTGACGTCATTGCATGTGAGTGTGAGCCAAAGTGACCATGTTTCTTGACGTTTCAAAAAGAGGGGGGCAGGTGGGCGGCGGTGTGACATACAGACGGAGACAGGGCGAGCAACCAGCCTTGCAGGAGCAGGCGCTGAAGCTGCTGGTGCTCGTCACGTCGTTGCATGTGAGTACGAGTCAATGTGAGACGTCTCAATGCTGCTGGTGCTTGTGACATCGTTGCCTGTGAGTGTTGCTTGTTAAACTAGTATGCCCATAACCAATCCGTGTAATTCCCAATTTCGCTGTTACCTCTCAACCTTTTTCATCACTTCCCTTCCACTCCCCTTCATTCTCCTGCCTCCTGCCTCTCTGTTCCCCCACCAGGCGGGCAATCCAAAGGAGCAAGCATCTCTGCTGTTGGACGACACAGCAGTGTTCCTCGAGTCCCTCCCGTCACTCCCCTTCACCCCCCTGTCTCCCTGTTCCCTCCCCACAAACCAACCACCAGGCGGGCAGTCCAAAGGAGCGAGCATCTCTGCTGCTGGACGACACAGCAGTGTTCCTCGAGTCCCTCCCGTCCGACCCCTGGGGCTCCTGGGCCACACTCGTTGCTGCAGAGGCTGCTGCTGCTGTTGTGGTGCTGCCTGTTGCTGTGGCAGTGGAGAGAAACGAGGGGGAGGAGGGGGAGGAAGAGGGTGAGGGGGAGGAGGGGAACACGAGGACTGGAACCTTGGTGAGTGTATCTGATTGCTGTGCACTTCCTTATTGCTGTTGAGACGTCTCGAGGATTCTTCTTGATCTCCCGTACTCGTTTGTTCTTTCATTCAACTCCACTGCCACTACCCACAAAACAGGGAAGTTTCCCGGACGCTGCGCTCCTCAGCATCCTCCGCGCCTTCCTGCACCCGCACTCCGAGACAAGAGACGCCGCCCACCACCTGCTGCAGCTTCTCCTTCGGGGCCCGGCAGCCTTCCCCTCAAACGACAGAGACTGCTACGGTCTCGTCATAGCAGCCAGCGCCGTCAGCACCACCACACCACCCGCCAGTGCTGCTGCTGCTAATCCACTGGCCTCCATAGAGGACATTAAACGGCCCCCTCTGTCCCCCTCGCCGTCCCAACTCCCTCTGCTGCTCTCCGCGCTCTGGTTGCAAGCAGCCATGCCCTCCACCGCCCCCAAGTCCCTCTGTGCCCTCTCCTCCACCTTCCACGCCCTCCTCCCGTGCCTCTCCGCCCCGCCTCCCCCCCCCTCCTCCCCCGCCTCCCCCTCCTCGCAGTCCCTTTCCTCCTCGCTCCTCCAGTCATTCCAACTCGTTCTCTCCCTCCGCAGAAAGGCTCTCTCTCTGCCTTCCGTTGCAGCACAGGGGGCAGCAGGGGGAGGGGCGGGGGGTGCAGAGGCAGAGGTGGAGGAAGAGGGGGGAGGAGGGGGTGGGGGAGAGGCGGAGTGGACGATAGGGCCGGTGGATCGGCGGTCGGTGTTCACTGTAGCGACTGCCATGCTCGCAGGGCTGGCCGGCAGCCTGGGCATGGAGGAGGTGGCGGCGTTTGTCCTGTCTGAAGAAGCTTCGTCAGCAGCTCTGGTGGGTGTTTTCATTGGTGGAAGCTGCTCGTACGCGTCTGCCTTGTTCCCTTCCCTTCCTCTGCACATGCTGTTGCCGTCGCTACTGTTTCTGGTTCTACTCGTGAGTGTGCACACCTGGTTGGTATTTTAAGTGACTGTTCTGCCTGCTGCCATTCATATCCACGTGCCCTCATTCATGTGCTCTTCCTCTCCCCTCTTCTTCCGAACCCCACTGTTCCCCCTTCTGCCACCACTCCCTCCCGCTTGCCCCCTTCCCGCCACCTCTCCCCCTCCCTCACTTCCCCCCTACGCCAGGCCAACCCCTTCCACGTCATCAATCCAGACGGCACGCTCTCAGAGGGTGTTTTGAGTCGACTCAGAACCCACCTCTCCCCCTCCCTCCCATTCTTCCCCACGCCAGGCCAACCCCTTCCACGTCATCAATCCCGACGGCACGCTCTCAGAGCGCCGCCCGCCCACCTCTCAGAGCGCTTTTGGCTCGCCTGCTGACTCAGAGCAGGCGGCTGCTGAGCTGGCAGGGGCGAGCAGCAGAGAGGAGGAGGTGCAGGTGCAGCTGGGGGAGAAGATAGCTGCTGCCGTTGTAGCTGCGGTGAGTGCGGTGTGCAGTTAGGGATTGAGTGCGATGCAGTGGTGGGTTGAGTGCGGTGGAGTAGTGTGTGTACGTATGGCTACTGTCATACGATAGGTGCAGCTGGGGGAGGAGTCAGCTGCTGCGTTTGTGGCTGCGGTGCTTGCATCAGTGGTGCATGTGTTGAGTGAGGGAATGTGAACAACTATTAGGTGAGGGTGTGGGTGCAATAACAGTTGTCAAGCCCTGGAAGTTACTGGTCGTCTCAAACTTCAATCAGGCACAGCTGATTCCCTCTCCTCCAACTGCCCCCTCTCCAACCGCCCCCCCACCACCGGTTCCCAGGGGGGGGGGGAGGACAGGGCCCTCAGTGGATCTGGCAGTGCTTCTGGCAGCCTCCCACCCTGTAGACTCACTCGCCCTCACGCCTGCCTTGTTCTGTCTCTCCCTTTCAACTCTCCCCTGATATCTCCAGTTCCCGGGGCACTCAGTGGAGCCAGCGTCGCTGCTTTCACCCTTCCACCCGTCGGACTCGCTCGCCCTCACACCTGCAGCTGACATGCTCGCTGCTGTCGCTGCCGATTCCGCTGCTCCCATCCTCCCCTCCTTCGAGGTACCCTCTCGCTTTCCAACACTTCATATCTCCAATCTTTCTGGCCTTACATGTTTTGGGAGTTACATTGCACTCACCCCCATCCCCTGTCTCCCTCCTTCCCCCTTTTTCCTAAGCCATTATTTGCCTCCTCCCACCCCGATCCCTTCCTATACGCACCAGGACTTGCCTGCTGCCATCCCTGATGAGGAACTCTTCCGAGCCTCCTCTGTTCCGGACCTGGCCAGGCCCGGCCAAGGCAGCAACGATGGGAGCAACCGTGGCTCAGACACTGCCGGCGCTGCTTTGGCGGATGATAAAGCAGGTGCAAGTGTACCGAGTGTGGAGCAGATACTGGAGTCGTTACAAGAAGATCAAGAGATTGTTGCCGACACAACTCAGGCAGGTGTAACAGGCGGTGAAGCGTCAAGTGTAGATGCCGCTTTGGCTATATTGGATGATTGAGTAGAGAGAACGTTATGGCTTGCTGATGCGTGATACACTTATCTGATGCATGGCTTGTATGATTTAGGTAGGTCTGTGATGGTTCCTAATTATGTATTGTAGGTGTCCAGAACTTGTGAAGTATTGGTGCGTTAAAGTTATGTTTTTGTTATCAACGGACAGGTCATTTTTTGACTTTCATCGCCTCTGTATGCTAGATCTGATAGACACCAGCATGCTGACCAGCTAAATCTCTAGAATGGTATACAGGCACATCGAGGAAAATTGTAACGAGGTACCTCAAACGCACACTCCCCCCACCCAGCTCACCGCAAGCCCCTCAACCTCCAACCCTCAACCTCGAAGATCTGCGACCTTCAAATCTGCCCTCATAATTCGTTTGGCACTCAACGCGGGCGTGTCCCCGAAAGTTAGACTCGAGAGTGGAATCGTAACGTGGAATTCTTTGAGAAATTTCAGAATTGACTCCAATATGGCGGTGGACAGTGGGAAGGATGGGAAGAAGTCGGAAGGCAAGAAACGGAGAGCGGATCCTGCCAATGGCGGCGATCCACGTGTCGGCGCGGACATTGACACCGTTGGGGAACCTGCCGCTGGGTCAACGGTAGACTCAGCGGGAGGTGCGGCGGCTTCCGGGAAGAAAAAGAGAGCGCGGAAGGCCAGGGGCGAGGGTAGTGGGGGAGGCGCGTGTAAGGAAGGGGGGGAGGAAAAAGGGAGGCTTGCTGATGGTCGGGATGAGGCGGAGGAGGACGGCGGAGAACAGGGGGGAGGGGTAGGCGCAGCAGCTGAGGACAGGTTGGTAGCAGGGGCGGAAGTTGCGGAACTGGGGGGAGATGTGGAATTGGGGGAAGACGCGGAAGAGGAGGAAGATGCGGAACTGGGGGAAGACGCGGAAGGGGGGGAAGTGGAAGAGGGGGAAGTTCCGCAAGACGACAATGATGCGCACAGGTTCGCGGAAGCGGACGCGGAGCTTTTCCCGCGCGAGCTGCTTCCACAACTAGACGCGGAAGCCGCCAGCCAGAGGCGCATCAAGGCGCGGAAGCTGGTCGCGGAAGCTGCTGCGGCCGCTGCGCGGGGAGCGGCCCAGGGGAAAGAACGCGGAAGCGGCTCCGACAGGGGCACGGGGGGAACGGCGGGAGCTGCGGCGGCGGCGGAGTGGTTTCAGGCGCAGGTGGTGGCGAACTGCGGCAGAAGCATGTCGTCTGTTGAGCGCGAACGAGTGATCCCAGGTGCGATGTGACGTGCCTGCATCGGGGGTTAGTCGGGGTTGAGGGGTTGAGAGCGCATGGGCCGAAGTTGTTCAAGCACAGGTAGTGGCGATTTGCGGCGGGGGTCAATCTCGCCCGTGGAGCGCGAACGAGTGATCCCAGGTGCGCTGCGAGGGGCCTGCCGCAGGGTTTAGTCAGGGTTGAGGGGTTGAGAGCACATGAACGGAGTGGTTTCAGGCGCAGGTAGAGGCGAATTGCGAGAGCTGTCTGTCTTCCATGGCGCGCGAACGAGTGATTCCAGCTGCGTTGCGAGGGGCCTGCCCAAGGAGTTACGACAACAAGATTCTGGGTTCAAGGGTTAAAGTTTGCCAACAATTTCACTCTTCCAATCCTCTCCCTCTCCCTCGCCCTTCCCCTCCCCCGTCCCCGCGCAGCCTCGTCGATTGCGATCTACAACATCCACTCACCCTCCCCGCAGCAGAGAGGCATCGCCCCACTCGTTCTGCCACATTCCTTCTGATTTGCCCCTCTCACCTCCCCCTGTCTCCCCTCACCTCTCCCCGCCTCCCCTCCAGCCTCGTCGATTGCGATCTACAACATCCACTCACCCTCCTCGCAGCAGCAGCCCGCCCCCAGCAGCACCACCCAGCCGCCCGGCGCACAACCGGGCGGCAGGGGACCGGGCGGCGGGCGAGCGGGCGGCAGAGGGGCGGGCGGCAGGGGTGCAGGGAGGGGCGGTAAGGCCGGCAGCGAGTCTGCTGCCGCCCATGAGGGTCCGACTCTTGCCGATCACCTGAAGCGCACTCTCGGCGCCACGTGGCGGTCTCTGCTGCTGCCACCTGGCGACAAGCAAGAAACAGACAAGGATCAACACCAGCAGGGGAAGCAGCGGCACAAGCAGCAGAAGCAGGAGCAGAAGGTGCAGCAGCAGGGGAAGCAGGAAGAAGGGGACGGGGGAGAGCAGTGGGAGGCGGGGAGTCCGGTGGTGCTGGTCGTATCAGCGTCAGCAGTCCGGTGTGGGGATCTGCTGAGGGAGTGCAAGGGCGTGGGGCGAGGGTGCCGCGTGGCAAAGCTGTTCGCGAAGCACCTCAAGGTGGAGGAGCAGGTGGAGGTGTTAAAAGGGCCTGTACATATCGCTGCTGGTACTCCCAATAGGTGAGCGCCTGAACCTTGACAATGGGTGTGCAAGGGCGTTGGGGAGTGCAAAGGAGTTGGGGAGTGCAAGGGCGTGGGACGTGGGTGCCGCGTGGCGAAGCTGTTCGCCAAGCACCTCAAGGTGGAGGAGCAAGTTGAGATGCTGAAAGGGCCTGTACACATTGCTGCTGGTACTCCCAACAGGTGAGGCATTTGGGGTTGAGAGGTGCTGCATGGTTAGGTATGGGTGACGCAGTGCACGATGATAAAGAAGCACCTCAAGGTGGAGGAGCAGGTGGAGGTGTTGAAGGGACCCGTGCACATCGCTGCTGGCACGCCCAACAGGTGCGTGTGAAGCTGAGACGGCTCCAACCACATCCATTCTGTTCATATTTCCCACCCACCACTGCTTCACGCGAGCTGCTGAAGCCACTATCTCCCTCTCATCACATGTCCCTCCTACCCACCCTCCCACCTACCAACCAGGCTGATCAAGCTCCTATCGTCTGGAGCCCTGCGGCTCGCCTGTCTGCGAGTGGTGGTGCTGGACATGCCACCATCGCCCAAGGCCTTCACTCTGCTCCCCCATCTTCTTCGCATGCCCCAACCCCACCCTGCCTGCATCCAGGTTGCTCAAGCTGCTCTCCTCCGGTGCCCTGCGACTCGCCTGTCTGCAGGTGGTTGTGCTGTACATGCTGCCATCGCCCAAGGCCTTCACTCTGCTCTCTCCCATCTGTCTTGCATTCTCCCACCCAACCAACCCGTCCTCGAACCCACCATCCAGGTTGCTCAAGCTGCTCTCCGCCGGAGCCTTGCGTCTCGCCAGTCTGCGAGTGGTGGTGCTGGACATGCTGCCATCGCCCAAGGCCTTCACTCTCCTCTCCATGCCTGACGTCCGGTAAGCTTCACTCTCTCTCCCGCATGCCCCCATGCCCCAGCCCAGATGCCCCATGCCCGATGCCCCATGCCCCAGCCCAGATGTTCCATGCCCCATGCCACATGCCACATGCCCAGATGCCCCATGCCACATGCCACATGCCCAGATGCCCCATGCACATGTCCCACCAGTGCCCTCCCCCTCTTTCCCCCAAAGGGGTCGAGTTCGAGGAGCTGTATGTATCTGAAGCAGCTGCACGACTCTTGAGTCGACTCTCAAGTCTCGTCGCCCAATTCTGTCCCTCCACTCCATCTACCCTCCTTCCCCACAGGGTCGCCTTCTGGGAGCTGTATCTGAAGCATCTGCATTCACATGACTCTTGAGTCCACTCGCAAGTCACCCCGCCCCTGTACTTTCCATGTTCTCTCTGTTTCTCTTCCGCCCACTTCCCCACAGGGTCGAGTTCTGGGAGCTGTATCTCAAGCATCTGCACGAGCCAGTTCTCTCAGGCTCCGCTGTGCTGGCGCTCCATGATTGGACGGGCGACTCCTCGCCTCCAAAAGCGGGTGACGGAAAGAGGCCTCCTGGAGAGCATATGAAGGGAAAGAAGCGGGCGGCAGCAGGTGCAAGGGGGGTAGAAGGGGAAGAAGGAGGAGGAGAAGGAGAAGGAGAAGGAGGAGCAGGGGGCGCAGGAGACACAGCAGGAGGGGAGGAGGGGGTGCAGAAGAAGCAGAAGAAGCGCAAAGCTTCAAAGGCAACTGCTGCAGCTGAGATGAGTGCAGCTGTGGAGGAGGGGGCAGGGGGGGCGGCAAGGGGACCGGCAGGAGACGAGCGCAAGGGGAAAGGGGGGCGTGAAGGGGGGAGAGGCAGAAGGGGTGGCGGTGGGGGGAGGGGTGGCGGACGAAGGGGCGGTGTGGGGGGGGGTGGTTTGGTGAGAGGTTTTGGGGGAAGAGGTAGTGGTGCAAGGGGTGGTAGGGGGAGGGGTGGCGGGGGGAGGGGTGGTGGAGGGAGGGGTGGTGGAGGGAGGGGTGGGAGGGGACGGGGGGGTGGTGCACGGCGCAGTGGTGATTGACTCATGAGGACATGAATTTTTAGACGTCTCCAAAAACTTCTCCAAGGCACAGTGGTGGTTGATTGACACATGGGGAGTGGTCGCAGGGCGGGGATGGTTAAGCTTGCCTGTGATGGCAGCGGGTGGGGTACTCTGGCAGCAGGGCAACAGAGGGGCAGCAGGGCAGCAGGGGAGCAGGGGAGCAGGATGGTGGGAGGCGGTGTTGGTGAGAGAGGCAGGAATACAGGTAGAAATGTTTGAAGAATCCCAAAAGCACAATGGCTGGAGTGGAGAAGCCAAGGCCGGGCCAAGTGCGCACATGCATTGTGTCATAAGGGTAACCTGGCCGTGTACCATGTTCACAGCATGTTTTACCGGCAACAAATTTATTTTACCGTAAAAGACTAATCAAAATGAGCTTTTCATGGAGCTCATCTGCACATGCACGGTTGATTGTGATTGCAAGTTAACTCGACCATGCATTGCGATAAAATTGTGCATCAAGTGCTCTGCTGAGGTGTCGTTGGGTCAGTGTCAGTTCTGCATGCCTAGTGCTGCAGCTCCCACTACGTACCCTCTGCATGTGCAACCACTTGTATCCACCAGCTTATCCCTACTGTGCCCTCTCATTACAGCACCAGTCCAATCTTGCATTACCAGCTGCTTAGCTGATGTGAGATACTGGTATGATGTGTGCATTTCAGGAGCGCAAGGAAACGTTCCCTCTCCTTCCATGCTTCATTTATTGTAAGCGGTTTGTGATTGACAGAGCACGATACGATGTATTTAATCACTTTTTTGGACGTTACACAAGACACAAGCCAACACCAATTGGCGATGTGGATGTGGTGTTTGCTAAAACAAATCATGCTCAGCTCAAACCATCTACCACCACTGATTTCACCTGCAGCAGCGGCAGCAGCAGCGACAGCAGGTCTTATACTATGCGAGCAGAAGCTCTTGAAAAGCACAGGAGTGGAGGACAAGCGTATGTCATCTCGGTAGAGTCAGAGCAGCAGGCCAGGCGGTTCCCCATCGGAGCTGTGTGCTTTGAGCTCCCAGTCTATGGGACTCGGTGTCTGGTTCATTGTGGCTGATAATAGGGAGGGAGAGAGAGGAAAAGCACGCACGGAGGATGAGCATGCGGGGATGATGGAGTCATAGCTGATTGTGCCTGTGCATATCTGCATGTGTGGCTGAGAATTGTGCGATGAGAGCATGTGTGGATGAGAGTGGGTCACATGACATGAGAGCATGTGTGGATGAGTGAACGGCGTGCACTCACTCTGGGGCAGGGCGCTGAGAGCAAGGCGGAGCAAGCGACGCTGCAGGAGAGCAGCGATGGCGAGGAAGAGTGAGCACATGAGGAACATTGACGTCATGGGGAAGGCTCGCACCTGGCGGGGGAGGAGGAGGAGGAGGAGTAGTAGGAGGAGGAGGAGGAGGAGGAGGAGGAGGAGGAGGAGGAGGAGGAGGAGGAGGAGGAGGAGGAGGAGGAGGAGGAGGAGGAGGAGGATTGCGAGGAGGAAGGGAGTAAGGAAGGAGAAGGTGAGGAAGGAAGGTGTGAGGAAGGAAGGTGGGATGGCGCACTGTAATTAGTGATAGAACTCACATGGTAGAGCACGAGGCACACGAAGACGTTGAGCGGCACGCGGAAGAAGTTCATGATGGTGGAGCGGGACTCCTCAGGCAGGTACTGTGCTCGCATGCGCATGAGCGACGGCCAGAACACGCCCACACACGCCTCAAACACACAGAAGCCCGCTAGCTGCACGCGGCCGCCTGCTGTGATGCCGCCCCCTGGAGGGGGGTGGCGCTCCAAGACCCACTGGGGAATGGGAGGTGGAGAGGCGGAGAGAGAGGGAGTGTGTGGATAAGAGGGCATGAGCGACGGCCAGAACACGCCCACACACGCCTCAAACACACAGAAGCCCGCTAGCTGCACGCGGCCGCCTGCTGTGATGCCGCCCCCTGGAGGGGGGTGGGGCTCCAAGACCCACTGGGGGGGAAAAGGGGTGGGAAGAGAGAGGGAGAGAGTGTGTGTAAGCATAACATAACTTGAAAGATGGAAGAGATGGTTGCTGATTGAACAGGTGAGACGGGGAGAGTGGGCGGCCGTGCGTGAGGCAGACATGGATTCAGCTTCACAATGAAAAAGTACGTGGCGGAGAGAGTGACAACGTGACATGCTCACAAGGTGACCTTGTGAGGTGACAGACTGAAATATTCACACTCAAGATGCATGGCAGGAGGAGCGCCTAGGAGATGCATAGTGCGACCGTCGGCAAGGAGGGTCAGAGAGTGACTGAAAGAGTGACAGAGTGACACTCCTGTCACTCTGAAAGAGTGACAGAGTGACAGTGTCTGGCTCCAGTTCATGATGCAGGGCAGGAGCAGCGAGAGGGAGGAGATGGCAGACACTGCCTGCATGTAGACTTCGAATTGCAGCCCCACACGGCCCATGAGGCGCGAGGGGAGGGAGATAAGGGAGACTTTCACAGAAACATAGACGACTCACATTCACGATGCAGGGCAGCAGCAGCGAGAGTGAGGAGATGGCGAAGACAGCCTGCATGTAGACCTCGACCTTGAGCCCCGCGCGGCCCATGAGGCGGGAGGCCAGGGAGGAGCCGAGCATGGAGGCGAGCATGAAGAGGGAGAAGATGAAGCCGTGCGGTATGGCCTGCTGCGAGGGGGCGCGCGCTGACAGGGGGACTCACATTCACGATGCAGGGCAGGAGAAGTGACAGCGACGAGACAGCGAAGACAGCCTGCATGTAGACCTCCACCTTCAACCCCGCACGGCCCATGAGGCGGGAAGCGAGGGAGGAACCAAGCATGGAGGCGAGCATGAAGAGGGAGAAGATGAAGCCGTGCGGGATGGCCTGCTGTGAGGGGGCGAGCGCTGGCGTCCAGAGGAACACGAACGTGTACATGCTCGCCTCGAACAGCGACTGGATGGCGCCTAAAATGGCGATCTTCTCGTCTGTATAATGAGCATACAGAGGGAGGAGAGAGGGAGAGGGGAACAGGAAAGTGCTGGCGTCCAGAGGAAGACGAAGGTATACATGCTCGCTTCAAAGAGTGACTGGATGGCTCCTAGAATGGCAATCTTTTCATCTGGAAGAGGGGAGTGTGGGGGGGAAAAGAAAGAGAGTGGGATGGAGAGAGCACTGGTATGCAAAAGAAAAAGAAGGTGGGCATGTTGGCAGTGAACTGGGCCTAGATGGCCTTTAGCAGAGTGATCAATCTTCTCGTCATGCAGGCTCCCACTAACAGCTTTGGTGGTTAAGTTATGGTGGGGAGAACATGCGACAGCTCCCTAACTGAAGCTATGGCAGTGTATGCCCACACCAGACTCCCACCTGAAGCAACAAGGGTGTAGATCAGTTGCAGCAATATGGCAAATAGACTTGTACGGCTGTACCTGAGGCGATTGCATGGTAGGCGAGTTGGAACTGCAGCAGCAGCCCGTGCGACTGATCAGAGTCCCCATGGTTCTCACTCCACGTGCCCACTATCACCGCCATTCCCCCTGCTAGCAGCACCGACGCTGCATCAAAGGGCGCGACTGGACCAAGGTTGAGGTCTGTCACCAACACGTTTGCCACCAGGCCTGGGCGGGTGAGGGGGAAATGTGAGTGGGAAGGTAATGAATTGCATGTGATGTATAAAATGTGTGTTATCTGTGTCGTTTGTGCGATGTATGTTGGCTCAAACATCTTACCTGACAGGATCGCCACGAGCCCGTTTCCGAGGAAGATAGCCTTGGAGAATGTGATTGAGAGCCAGGGGGGTTCGAAACCACGAGCGAAGTGCTCAGCAACGAGCCAGGACTCAAAGGCGGAGAAGAGCAGCGAGGTGGCTATGCCATGCCGCTTGCCGCCTCTAACATCTCACCTGACAGTATCGCCACAAGTCCGTTGCCGAGGAAGATGGCCTTAGAGAATGTGATAGACAACCAGGGGGGCTCAAAGCCGCGAGCGAAGTGTTCAGCAACGAGCCAGGACTCAAAGGCGGAGAAGAGCAGCGAGGTGGCGATGCCTCCCAGCACTCGGCCCAGCACAAGGATGGAGAAGGCCGGGAAGTGCTTCGTGAGACAGCTCAGGATGTAGGTCACGCAGTAGAGCACGCAGGCCAGGCGCCGACCACTGGGGGCGGGATTGGGGTTCAGGGTATAAGGGTTAGGAAGGAAAGTGGAGGGGAGAGGAAAGAGGGAAAGTGCTTGGTGTGGCAGCTGAGGATGTGGGTCACGCAGTAGACCATGGAGGAGCCGAAGCCGGCAATGACGAGAATCCACCCTGGGCAAGCTTTAAGCGTTACGAATTGTGGGGCGAGCTAAGAAACAGCAAGCACACTCACTGTCTGTCAGCCAGCGATCCCACGATGGTGCCAAAGACCATGGAGGAGCTGAAGCTAGCAATGAAAAGCCTCCCCAGTCAAAATTGTATTAAGAATACTCACTGACTGTCAGCCCTCGACCCCACGACGGTGCTGAAGACCACGGAGGAACCGAATCCAGTGATGAAGAGAGCCCACTGTGGCCGAGGTGTAAGCGTTAAGGATCGTGGGTAGAGATTAGAAAGAGGAAAGGACGGCACTCACTGTCTGTCGGCCAGCGACCCCACGATGGTGCCAAAGACCATGGAGGAGCCGAATCCGGCGATGAAGAGGCACCCGATGTCTCCCTTGTCATATCCGTAGTGCTGGTACAGCGCTAAGGAGTGTGGGACACGCTTACAGAGGATAGAAACACTCACTGTCTGTCGGCCAGCGACCCCACGATGGTCCCGAAGACCATGGAGGAGCCGAATCCGGCGATGAAGAGCCGGCCGATGTCTCCCTTGTCGTAATGCTGGGACAGCACGTACACGCTCATGGGGAGAGACTAGAAACCGCAAGCACACTCACTGCCTGTCGGCCAGCGACCCCACGATGGTCCCGAAGACCATGGAGGAACCGAAGCCAGCTATGAAGAGGCGGCCGATGTCGCCCTTGTCGTACCCGTAGTGCTGGTACAGCGCGTACACGTACGGACCCTGCAGCCAATCGCCCGCTGCCACGTGGACATGATGGAGGGGATGAAATGGAGATGGGGTTGTTACAATGTATTAAACATATCGTCCGACAGTCGACCCGCGCCTACCATTCTCTCTCAGGCATTCCCACTTCACTCATGTCAGATTAAAGTGACTTCTAATGCATGTCTCCCCGTCCGTCACCTACCCATCATGAGGCAGCAGACGAGCAGGTAGTTGTTCCCACCATTACCCAACCGCAATACAAGCTGACTCATTATCCGTCACGTACCCATCATGAGGCAGTACACGAGCAGGTGGTTCTTGAATGATTCGAAGGCGGGGGTGGTCCGGGCGCGGTCCTTGAAGCCGCGAGAGAACTCGAGCGCCAGGCACAGCACCACCAGCACCGCGAGGTGACTTCTGACTCAACTCAAACGTACCCATCATGAGGCAATAGACGAGGAGGTAGTTGTTCTTGAACGACTCGAACGCGGGGGTGGTCTGCGCGCGGTCTTTGGAGCTGCGGGAGAACTCGAGCGCCAGGCACAGCACCACCAGCACCGCGAACACCACCCAGAAATACGCCTCCATGCCCGCTGCTGCCGCTGCTGCTGCTGCTAGTGGTGGTGCTGCAGCTAGTGCTGCTGCTGCCGGCCGCGAGAACGGAGGTTAGGTATAAGCTCGATTTGAGCTCAGATCTGCGAGTGCTGCTGGGCTCTGGAGCACGGTGGTTGAGCTATCTGGTGTCTAGCGGGGATACACGGGGATACTCGATTGCTGCTGCTAAGAAGTGATTGACATTTAGGTTGTCCAACGCGTGTATATCTGGTTGCTTGCAAGGCGATAAGTGCTGGGCTACAGACGCATACCAGCATGATAGGTACGCTTCGGAGGCTAATAGTATTACTAATGAGCACTAACGAATATTCACTCGAAAACCGTTGAGAGCTAAGAACGCGATAACAACTTGGTTACGGTCGCCTCTAGAGGCGAAAAGCGCATTGGGTGACATGCAGACTTGAATTCGTCGGATTTCATATGGAAGTAACTGAGAAGCTTCTCAGCATTCCAGCAATCTTAAGCACGAACTATGTAGGAACGCGGAGCGGAGCGGACACTTATATACCGCCATGAGGAGTGGAGCGCCTCGCAAGCTATTAGACGTGAACTACAGGAACTCCTGCGTCCCGTCATTGTCAGAATGCCGACCCTCCCATGGTTGTTGCGATTCGCCATCTAGTAGGGGCATCCGAATGACTTATCGAAGGCCTCATGAATTAGCTTCGCTCTATATTGACTTATTAACTGCCTGGTCGAAGCGCATTCTCAGATAAACGGTCATTCACGGACCGGTAGACCAGGCGAACAGCAGAGATATCAGATGACGGCATACAGCAAAGAGAAGAAACGAGCCTAGAAATTGTCTCGACGGAGAAATAGATGTTGATAGGGGGTGAGCTGACAGGTGATTGGGGGAGATTGGCGACTGACATTTCTGCAACGCAGGCTCTGTTCCCGTCAGGCACAGTGAAAATCGACGGCGAAGATTCGTTGATGGAGGAGCATAGTGTCTGACACATTCGCTAAGGGTGAAGTGGTTTGCAACACAAGCATGAACACATTATTGGAAATCACTGGATACATGGAATTTGAGAAATAATGGCAGCAGTGTGGTTGAAGCCACATGATACTTGGAGGACATTTGAAGCGCTATTGCCTTGTTGAGAGGTTTTGTCAAACGCTCCGTATGACACCCGCATGGGTTCAAAGAACTCAAACTCATTTCCAAGCCCCTGAAAAATATCCACAACAGAAAAATAGACAGGGATAAGGTCAAGTCAACCACAGCATTTACACTCAAGAGCACATGGCCACATCCACAGAACCGAATTGCACCACGTCCAATATTCCACTACCACCACATACCAATTGGCCTCCTGTGGACCTTGATTCCACAGCGTGTGATCCTTGGGAACCGCCCCAACCCCATGTGAACAGCTTGCCGACCGTTGCCGCCCGCAATGATTGCCCTTCCCCCTCATCAGCACCACCTGATTTCGAGAATAGGCCGCAAGAGAAAACATTGAAGACAATGCACCATATGGCAAGGCTTGGAAGTACACCAGCTTCATGCACAGCAGCTGCAAAGAGCAAGACCCCATGGTTTGTTCTGTACTGTGACTAGTTGTGAGACGAGCAGTGCACTTACTAGCTAGAGCTGCGGTGTGCTTCCACCCACACGACACCTGCAGCACCTGCTTCCCTGCCAACCTGCCTGCCACCCTCACTGGGACTGCTGACGAGGGTGCATGACGGGGGCTGCTAGGAGCGAGACACGAGGAGAGGAATGGAGAGAACAGAAAAGAGTGGTGGAGAGAGTGGTGAAGAGAGGTGAGGAGAGGTGGGGAGAGGTGAGGTGAGATGGGTCTTGAAAAAGGCACAAGACCAGCGCGACAATAAAATCAATCTTCACCCAACGGAAAAACACAACTCTAGTATCTCAGATGGAGGCATGGAAGAGCCTGGCACACACCCGTGGCCAAGGCAGCCATACTCGTTCGCTCCCCACGTGAATAGGTGCCCAGCCCCTGTGGACATGTAAGGAAAACGATGAGACAGAAGGTAATGAAGGAGTGTTGGAAAGGAGCGTGAAGAATGCGAGATGGAAATCAGATGAACAAAGCACCATGTCAGCACCTGTGACAGCAGCGGTGTGGTAACCACCACATGCCACATCGGTTACAGCATGCTGAAGAGATGTCAGCTCCACCGGTTCCTCCCGATCCTTCTCATCCCCCAGCCCCTGCCATCATGCACGCATGAAATCATGCATGCACATGCATGCACGGACACATGCCATCATGAATGCATGCATTCAGCGGCAAATAAAGTGCCACTGATTGGATACTTTCAGGTAGATTGACTGAATTTGGGTGCACGGGGCTCCTCCAAGTCTTGAGAAGTCTCAAAAGTTTTGAGTTTTGAGACGCCTCAGAGCTTTTCAGGTGCACGGGGCTCCTCCAAGTCCTTGCGCTGCCCATCCTAGGAGGGCACAGATGTGGGCATGCAGCGTGGATGATGCACTCCTGGGCCCAGGCCCACACACTTGCATTCACACGTGAACACGCACGTACTCACACTCACACTAGCTTGCTTTAACATTCCCACCCGCACAGACTCACCAGCTGAGAGAATCTGTTTCCCCCAAACATGAACAGGCGGCCACTGTCTGCCACAGAGAGGCACAAGCAGACACACACATGGATGAGTTCACAGGGAAGCAAACAATTAGTGACATGAATGCACACACTTGAAGGGAGGACTTTGAGGGCACCTCAACAGCGAGGCACAAGAAGACACACGCATGGATGAGTTCACAGGGAAGCCAACAATCAGTGACATGAATGCACACACTTGAAGGGAGGCGCAGTAAGACACATGTATGCAATACATCCTGTCAACACATGCTGGCTTACCATCAACACATGCCGAGTGCATCAGGCCTGCTGCCACGTGAACGACCTGGTGACGAAATAGCAGCACATGCAGCAAGATCACATGCAATACGATTACCACTTGAGACACGAGCAAGTGTAGGCCAAAATAGGGGACACGATAACGAATATGGCAAGCACATGCAGGAGGGGTGGAAGTGCTGATCAAAGCACACACAAACGTCGGGCGAGAATGGAAATCTAACTTCTAAATAGCTGCTGTCCATCATGTCGGTATATTTCGCCCACCATAACCAGCCACCCTCCATTTCCGTCGTCCTACGGCAATATACCGCAACGCTGTACTGCATTCGTGTTCACAGATTGCATACCTTGGTATTTGCCGTGGCCTTAACGAGTCGCGGGATGGACTCACTGCGGAGGAGGGGTGTTGGGTGAGGGGAGGGAACAAGGAGGGAGCGAGAAGAAGGGAGAGGTGAATTGTACAAGCTTGAATTGAACCAGCAGAGACAACGAGAAAAGCTAAACGAGAGTTGCCTGCGCATGCAGAATGCATGGATGCTGTTTAAGGGGATCAGTTGCACACAAAAGAGCAGAATTCCCGAGCCTTGAGGGAATCTTTGTTCGCACCTGGATTTCCTGGAGAGGCGGGAGAAGAGCGGCAGAGGACCGTGACCCAACAGACCCTTTCCCCATGAGAGCAGCTGCCCGTCGGCTGAGAGGAATGGGGAATGGGGAAGTGGAAGTGGAAGCGGAAGGGGAAAAATGAGTGATAAAGAGCAGCTGACCATTTGCTGAGAGGGAGGTGGAATGGGAAGGTGGAAGGGGAAGGGAAAGGGGGTTGGTAAAGGAAACGGAGGATGGGGGAAGAAAGTGGGCTGTGACCGAGCAGGCCCTTTCCCCATGAGAGCAGCTGACCGTCGGCTGAGGAAGGGGAGGTGGAATGGGGAGGTGGAAAGGGAGGAAGCGGAAGTGGAGTGGTGAAGGAAAGGGAGGATGGTTCAAGAAAGTGGGCCATGGCCCAGCAGGCCCTTTCCCCTGACCGTCGGTTGAGAGGGAGGTGGAAAGAGTTTTGAGACGTCTCAAAAGGCCCTTTCCCCTGACCGTCGGTTGAGAGGGAGGTGGAAAGAGTTTTGAGACGTCTCAAAAGGCCCTTTCCCCTGACCGTCGGCTGAGAGGGAGGTGGAAAGAGTTTTGAGACGTCTCAAAAGGCCCTTTCCCCTGACCGTCGGTTGAGAGGGAGGTGGAAAGAGTTTTGAGACGTCTCAAAAGGCCCTTTCCCCTGACCGTCGGCTGAGAGGAAGGTGGAAAGAGGAGGGTGGGGGTTGGTAAAGGGAAGGGAATGTGGGTGAAGAAAGTGGGCTGTGGTTGAGCAGATCCTTTCCCCGTGAGAGCAGCTGACTGACTGTCAGCTGAGAGGGAAGTCCCAGGGAGGGAGCATGAGAGCATGGGAGAATTGAAGCATGGGAGCATGGGGCAAGGCGAGCATGGTAGCATGGCACATACGAGCCTACCTGTGACAGCGAGGGTGTGTTGGCCCCCAAGTGCCATGTGTTGAATGCTCACTCCTACCAGCGCCTCTGGCACACGGGGCGAATGCACCTTGGATGGGCCGCCTGGGGAGAAAGGGAGTGGAGGCACCAAGATTGGTTGTAAGGCAGATGGTGGAATGTTGGAGAAGAGCGGTAGGGGTGGAGCGAGGGCTTCTGAGGCGCCTCAAAATACCTTGTAAGGAGAAGGGGAGTGGAGGCATCAGGATTGATCATAAGACAGATGGGTGGAATGTCAGAGAAGAATGGTAGGGGTGGAGCGATGGAGAACAGGCAAGAGAATGAGTGCAGTTGCAATCAGAGCGGACGACTTACGTGAGCCGAGTCCAAGCTGGCGGGCGGCATTGCCGCCCCACAGGTACATTTGGCCGGCCTCTGATGGACAGGAGAAGAGGAGAAGAGAGCAATACAAACAGACAGGGGAGGAGAAAGGGAGAGCACAATGAATAACAGATAGAGAGCAAGAAAGTGGAGGACCAAAATGAAAAGAACTTCCAGAAATAAAAAAGAACTTATATGTCCTGTGTACAATCATGGATGCTTGGTGAATCACCAGTAGTGTGTGGATTAAGTTACCATCTATGGCAGCTGAATGGAACGCAGCAGCTGCAATGGCCACTACAGGCCGATCAAAACCGACCACCTCTTTGGGCGACTGCAGGAACCAATCATCACAAGGAACAGGAAGGGATTGGGCATGGGTGAATAGAGTGTTGTGAAGACAGTGCATTCACACCATGGGTTGAGTGGACTGTTACAATGTTAATGCGCTTGAAATTGCTGAACAAAAAGCACGGCACGGTGGAAAGGAAGACATGCTACAATAACAGAATCGGAGTAGCAGCAGCAGCGGCACTCAGTGACGTATGGTGGAGCACTGGATTCACCCAACCCCAGCTGCCCTTGGTCGTTGAGTCCCGTGCTGTACACCCTGCCATCCGCTGCATGGATGCATCATGCATGGTTGGGGTAAGAGTATGCAATGTTGGTCGTTGTGACATGCATGGTATGGTGTACAACCTACCATCGGCTGGATGGATGCAGCATGCAATCAGATTCGCGTGTACGCCTTCAGATTCGCATGGGAAGCATTTAGATTTAAGTGGATGCGTCTAATCTAATTACCCTTCTAGATAAGCTATTGATCCTAATGGCGGCAGTAACTCGTCCTGATTCAGCTGCAACAACTGACACGTCATTAGTACCTGTCAGCACGAGCGTGTGAGCACCACCGCATGCCACGTGGCACACGTCCATATCCTCCAATGCCGCACACACTCGTGGGACATTCATGGATCCCCCATCCCCGCCTCCCTCCCCAACCCCATATCCAGCCCTCTCCGCTTCCGCTCCTCTACCTTCCCCCGCAGCTCTCCCCCATCCCCACCACCCTCCGCCGCCGCCATTCTCCCCGCTGCTCTCCCCCCGCTTGTCCCCCAGCCCCAGCCGTCCGTGATCCCCGTTCCCCCACAGCGCAACCTTCCTTCGAGACGCCTCAAACGCGGACGTCCGATTTTCCCGCGAGGCATTGCTTGAAGCGCGACGATTCGACTCTTGATGTGGATTTGACCCGTGGTGGGTTGCCACGTGGCGAGCGCTTTGAGTAGCAGCGTCCGCGGATCCGGAAACCGCATTCGTCCATGTCGTTGCTACTGCGAAATCATCCGCCACGGATGCGGGAAAGACGATGCGCTTTCGCGCAAGTCGTGTTTGGCGCGCAAGGTATAAGGAGGAGCGCAGAAAGCCCATGTCCACGGAAAATATAAAGAAATACTAATAAAAAACAATATACCTGAAATAACAGAAAAAGGATGCCGAAAACTTTCCAGATTTCTGCGCATTTACAAATGATACGCTAATACCGTCATGGGCGAAGAGGGAATTCACTATCGTAGAATAGCGTCCATGGCTATTACATCTGGACCCAAACAGATATTTCCCGCGAAGTGACGTAGCGTCAGGAAGAAGCGAGAGAAGCTTCACCATCCAGCACGAAAAAAAGGTGCGACTTGCTGTAACGTTCGCAGCATGGAATCTCGTCGCAGATGGAACATATTACCCTCGCAGATTTCGCCCGAGACCCGCAAAACCAGATTTCCAATTCCTGCAGCATCCCAGTCTGTCGTTTCACCCTGCAGTGGTATTTCAGGCAGCTAAGGGCGTGTAACTTTGCTCCGACCAAACGAAATGGTCGACCATATGGGCGGCTCTGACGATTGCGAAATTGTAGGGTTACGCCCGTAGTTTGTACTCACCCTTATTTGACAGAAAACGGATGTTATTCCTTCGTATAACCTTTTGCTACCGAGCTTGTTGGGACCTCTACTTAGCAGGACATCAATGTTTGACATTCGGTATTCGCCCCCCGATGTGTTTTCATACTTTGCTGAACAATATAATCTACCCGCGCCCACAACATTCCACACCCGGTTCGACGCTGAAACTGGGATCAAACATTTTCGACCAATTACGGGAGTGGTTTAGGGTGGTTGTTCCGCGTCCTGGCGAAAAGAATGGTCGTTGTGCTCGAAATGTTTGGCGGGGCTCGCCTAGTCGTTACACATTTCGCTTTCGTCCGAGCCGGCCATTTGGTCGGATTTTGGGGTTGGTCGGAGCAAAGTTACACGCCCTAAGGCAACCCAGGCAGTTGAGACAGTTTCAGGTAAGCCAGGCAATTCAGGCGACTGAGACTGTAGGCAGTTCAGGTGGTTTTGGCGCTGTAAGCGGTTTCAGCAACGGTCAAAGCGGGGCCATTGCTAGCGATCTTGTCCTCGCTACAAGGTTCCAAGGACAATATTCCAAAGACCTTGGAGGCGATCTTGTCTCCTTCCTGGACTTCAGCAGCTCGAGCCGCGCCTTTCTCGTGGTCTTCTGCTCCTCGACCAGGAACGCGCGGATGATTCTGTGGTGATGGGCAGAGGAACAAAGAAAGAAAAAGAAAGAAGGTAAGGTTACAGTTAGAGAGTTTATTCTTTGTTATCTCATGCTCCTCCTCCATTAACGCTCGGATGATTCCGTGGAAAGGGAGCAGAGCAGCGCGGGAAGGGAGGGCTGTGACATTTGAGTAGCGCCGAAAGTCACTCCTGCTCGCTCCACAACCAGAGATTTTCGGATTGTTTTGCAAAGAAAGAGTTGAAAAAGCGGTGATGGGAGAGGAGAATAAACGGGAGAATGGACGAGTGGGAAACGGGAGCAGAGCATTGGAGGGGAAGTAATGGGTAAAGGAGGAACGGGTGGAGGGGAATGGGGCAGGGGGGATTCAAGGGGGTGGGGGAAGGGGGGAGGAGGGGTGGAAGGACAGAACGTCGGCCCAGGGCAGAAGGGCGTTGACAGGGAAAGGGCGATGAGACAATGAGGCAAGTGGGTGCTTCAGCGGTGCACTTGCTTTGCCCCTTGCATCAGCTTCCTCCTTCCATCCTCCCCCCTTCCTTCTGCCTTGCTTCCGCCATCCTTCCAGTTCCCCCCTTTCTGACGCCCTCCTTTCCCTTCGCCGCCTTCTCGCCCCCCTCCCCTTGTGCATCCTTATGCATTCCGCCACGCATCATCGCTCGCGGTGCATCCCTCGTATAGCCACCTCGCGCCGATCAGCTTCCGTGCTTATGAGGTGCCTTTTGAGTCGACTCAAAAGTCGCATCATCGCTCGCGGTGCATCCCTCATATAGCCACCTCGCGCCGATCAGCTTCCGTGCTTATGAGGTGCCTTTTGAGTCGACTCAAAAGTCGCATCATCGCTCGCGGTGCATCCCTCATATAGCCACCTCGCGCCGATCAGCTTCCGTGCTTATGAGGTGCCTTTTGAGTCGACTCAAAAGTCGCGTCATCGCTCGCGGTGCATCCCTCGTATAGCCACCTCGCGCCGATCATCTTCCGTGCTTATGAGGTGCCTTTTGAGTCGACTCAAAAGTCGCATCATCGCTCGCGGTGCATCCCTCGTACCTCGCGCCGATCATCTTCCGTGCTTACCCACTAAAGCCACCCCCGTCCCCTTGCCCCCTCTCCGCCTCTCCCCAATCCCCACCTTCCTCCCTGCGCCACACCTCTCGCGCATCAGGTTGCGCCTGATGGTGCTGGGAGGAAGGAGATGGCGCTGGGAGGAGGGAGATGGCGCTGGGAGGAGGGAGATGGCGCTGGGAGGAGGGAGATGGCGCTGGGAGGAAGGAGATGGCGCTGGGAGGAAGGAGATGGCGCTGGGAGGAGGGAGATGGCGCTGGGAGGAGGGAGATGGCGCTGGGAGGAGGGAGATGGCGCTGGGAGGAAGGAGATGGCGCTGGGAGGAAGGAGATGGCGCTGGGAGGAAGGAGATGGCGCTGGGAGGAAGGAGATGGCGCTGGGAGGAAGGAGATGGCGCTGGGAGGAAGGAGATGGCGCGGCCGTTGATGCGCGTGGCGCTCTTTCTTCTTGGGTTGCGCCAAGTCAGGTTGCGCGCGAGCTTGTGTGCTTGGAGCGCGGGGATCTGCGGGAATATGATCACAAACGAGTGGTATATGGGGAGAACAATGGCGAGGCTGTAATGGTAGCGGGACTTACACCAGGGAGGATGCGCGGGCACTTGCTGCACTTGACGCTGTTGGCTCTCTTGGCGATGCACTGGACTCTGACTGAGTCCCGCACAATCATGCATAATCATCCACAATCATGCGCAATCTTTCAGACCCGGCAAGCATGAGTGCGAGCTGGTGTCAGGGTACCTGTCATGTCATCCCATACGACTCTGAGTCCCGCATGTGAGCCATATGAATTCCCATGGTACATGAGTATGCTCATTAGCATGCAAGGCTCTGTTTTCCTGCCCTCCGCCCCTTCATTCACCCTTTCTGCGCCTGTCAGTTTTGTACGCTTCCACGCACTGCGCATCACAGCAGCAGCAGTTGCATCAACGGCGCTAGCAGAGCAGTGCTGGACTGGCGACTATTGATGCTGCCAGCCTCTCCTTCTCGTACAGTGACCAAGGAAGAGGCACCGGCACCACCAAGCTCTTGGGATGATGTCAGCATGGTGCATACGCACCGTGCATCAGATTCACTGACTCGTTCACTCACCATGAGCTGTTGCATTGCTTGCACCTCACAGATTGCTTCTGTCCCTCATTTTTTAAATCCCCTTTCCACTTTAACCCCTTTTCCCTGTGCCTCCCCCCCCTCCCCCCCCTTTTCTTCCTCCATCAGCTGCTCCAATGGCACATGGCCCGCCTCTCCCCACACTGCCCGCCACACAATCCACGTCAGCGTGAACGGGAGAGCCAATCAGGGGGCGCGGACGTGGAGAGGGAAGACCCGGAGTGGGAGGCGTGTGATCTGATGGACGGGTTGGCGCGCTGCGGCCGATGGAGAGACGCCTGAGACGCCTTCCTTGCCCTGCCACGCCACGCCCGCTCTCACAAGGTGCACCTTGTGCACTCGCACATGCCCGAGATGCCCACACTGTGCTGTGCTGCCCTTGTGCGTGCTCATTCACACATACCATTCCGATCATGCAATTTTCTCCGCCAGGCTTCTTGAGTCTCAACCCTCTTTCTTGCCGATGCTTTTCCACTCCCTCGTGTCGATCCTTATCAGGCGTACAGTGGAGTGTTGTACCACGGGCCACGGGCCAGCACAGCAGGGCGCGCACGGGCCAGCACAGCAGGGTGCAGGAGCAGCTGCAGTGGCTGCAGCAGGCAGCAGGGGCTGCAGCGCTGGGTGTGAGCGCCTTCAACGCGCGCCTGCTCGCCCTCTCCACCCTGCCATCGCG